TGAGGTCGTCTGGTCTCATGTCACTGTCTTCCCGTGAGTCTGTTTATGTCTATGAATTGGAAAGCTTTATTCCTGAAGTACGTGTGAGTATACATTTCCCGGTAAAATCTTGATATCGGGTGTTGACATATCATCGGCACGCACGTGTACTATTGTTTACCATGGGCCTGTTCGTTTATGCGGAACAACCGGTTTGACCGTTTATAAATGTAACAATTTCGGGTGTAAATCCTGGCGGACCTGCAAATGTGTATGCAGGCCTTGCAAGGCTTTCTCAAGACTCGCCTGAAAGCAGCATCAGATTACTAGGTCCGACCTTATTTAATAAACGAACAACAGTGGTCCGATCGGTTTGACCGTTTAAACGAAAACGGCCCAGCAGGTGTTACTATAATTTGCACTACGATATTGAATGCCCGATACGCAATACGGAAATGACGACACGGTGTACATGCACATTTCGATTAAGATAATTGAGTCCTAGCTGTACTTTTTCCGGAAGTATGTCACGAAAATGGACGCTGATGACGATGTGTCGAGCCACCTTAATGTATTTATACATCATTTGTGATATTCATTATTTCAATATGTTTTACAATTTTTAATTGTTAGTATATCTGCCATGTTTTTATATTTTCTGTTTTTATAACCAAATTTTCAATACTGCATTTATCCGATATAAGTCCATGCCTGGTAATAAGCCTGCCCATATCTATTGCAGTTCAATAGAAATTAATGCTAACAAATGTTATTCCATTGCTCTGTAAGCCTTTTCATCTGCTTTGAATAAGAGATCATGTACTAGAAGGTCCCCAGGGCTTTCACACAATCAATATGTGACATATTTTAAGAATTATTTATGTATGGATGAAATATATTTTAACTTAAATTTGTCACACATTTTCAATAATTTAGCATTTTTATATTTGCAGTATTTGCCATCCATAGTTTGCCGATGACATAATGGCCCTGCTTGGGAGGGATAACAGTGAGGACCTTGTAAGTCAAATCACTTATCAATAGTAAAATGTAGTAACGAGCTTGTAAGTCAAATCACTTATCAATAGTAAAATGTAGCCGATACAGGTTTTAACGAGCTCGTAAGTCAAATCACTTGTTTATCAATAGTAAAATGTAGCCGATACAGGTTTTAACGAGCTTGTAAGCCAAATCACTTATCAATAGTAAAATTTAGTAAGGAGCTTGTAAGTCAAATCACTTGTTTATCAATAGTAAAATGAAGGAACGAGCTTGTAAGTCAAATCACTTATCAATAGTAAAATGTAGTAACAAGCTTGTAAGTCAAATCACTTATCAATAGTAAAATGTAGACGATACAGGTTTTAACGAGCTTGTGAGTCAAATCACTTGTTTATCAATAGTAAAATGTAGACGATACAGATTTTAACGAGCTTGTAAGTCAAATCACTTGTTTATCAATAGTAAAATGTAGACGATACAGATTTTAACGAGCGTGTAAGTCAAATCACTTATCAATAGTAAAATGTAGACGATACAGATTTTAACGAGCGTGTAAGTCAAATCACTTATCAATAGTAAGATGTAGTAACAAGCTTGTAAGTCAAATCACTTATCAAGCTTGTTACTACATTTTACTATTGATAAGTCAAATCACTTATCAATAGTAAAATGTAGTAACAAGATTGTAAGTCAAATCACTTATCAATAGTACAATGTAGACGATACAGGTTTTAACGAGCTTGTGAGTCAAATCACTTGTTTATCAATAGTATAATGTAGACAATACAGGTTTTAACGAGATTGTAAGTCAAATCATTTGTTTATCAATAGTATAATGTAGACGATACAGGTTTTTACGAGCTTGTAAGTCAAATCACTTGTTTATCAATAGTAAAATGTAGACGATACAGATTTTAACGAGCGTGTAAGTCAAATCACTTATCAATAGTATAATGTAGACGATACAGGTTTTTACGAGCTTGTAAGTCAAATCACTTGTTTATCAATAGCATAATGAAGACAATACAGGTTTTAACGAGCTTGTACGTCAAATCACTTATCAATAGTATAATGTAGACGATACAGGTTTTAAGGAGCTTGTTAGTCAAATCACTTGTTTATCAATAGTAAAATGTAGACGATACAGGTGTTAACGAGCCTGTAAGTCAAATTAGTTGTTTATCAATGGTATAATGTAGACGATACAGGTTTTAAGGAGCTTGTTAGTCAAATCACTTGTTTATCAATAGTAAAATGTAGTAACGAGCTTGTAAGTCAAATTACTTATCAATAGTATAATGTAGACGATACAGGTTTTTACGAGCTTGTAAGTCAAATCACTTGTTTATCAATAGCATAATGAAGACAATACAGGTTTTAACGAGCTTGTACGTCAAATCACTTATCAATAGTATAATGTATACGATACAGGTTTTAACGAGCTTGTAAGGCAAATCACTTGTTTATCAATAGTATAATGTAGACAATACAGGTTTTAACGAGCTTGTACGTCAAATCACTTATCAATAGTATAATGTAGACGATACAGGTTTTAACCTGAGAATTGCAAAATTGCATGAATTAGATGCTGGGGTAATTTGCAATTTACTGCTGGAAAGTTAAGACTTCTCCGTAAATTTATTTTGATTCTGATATGTGAATATATCAGATAAAAAATTTAATATGGGCAGAACTCCACTAATTGATATATAATTTCTTCACTCAGAATTATTCGGAGGAATCTCAACCTCTGACCAGCCCTGGGGCTACAGAGGATGACCTCAATATCTCCCATGACGATTCCGATGACATCGCACAAGCTCCGAGATTCTCCCACGTTGTTGACATCCATGGAGATCAGCTACGTGCTCAGGAGCGTCAAAGAAAGGAAGTATTCAACGACGATGTTGAAAAAATGTTTGAACTTCCCAAAAAATTTGACATTTCATCTTTAATATCGGGATCGCCAGCTGTCGTCTCAGAGCAACAATCGCCTGAGCATGTCAGCACCGCACAAGGGGAGACGAGGCTGTATCGTGAAGAGGACTATACAAGTGAGTTATCTCCCCTTCGTAAAGTTAATGCTATGGGATTCAGCATTTTAGTGTATGAAATGTCGAATGGTTGACCTCTGTTCTGAGACTTATTCTAGAGAAATTGTGATAGGAAATATGTCTACCATGTCAACCTCCCTAATTATTTCTTTACAAATCTTCAACACCAAAATAAAAATATCTGATTAAAAAGGAAATTTTACTCATCCAAATTGGATGAAACAGAGTTTTACTTTATTTACATTGTGTACAGTGGACTTTCCTTAATGTCATGTCGTTAATAGTAACATTTTGCTTATAGATCAGATTGTTGTACAGATCTAGACATGTGACTTCACAGACAATTCTTTGTTTTTTGTGACTTGGATGTGAACAAATAATTTAGGTATTAAAACATTATTTTCGTAAAAGTTCGATTTAGGTTTAACTTGATTTGTTTTCACAGAAACATACTGTTTTTATCAATTCTCACATTTAACTATATTTCTCCCACAATCATTCTATAGGATTCCTCACTCCCTGCTATGGGTTATATATTAGTAGACATTTTGGTTACCCATTAGTGGGTAACACCCTTGATGTTAGTTCATGGGTCAATATTCTTATTATGACATTAAATAACAATGCTTTGCGACATTATATTCCATTGTGACATCCTAGTGCATGGCAATGGTTACCCTGATCAGAAAAAAGTATAAGTTATTCCAAAATCAACCATGGTTTTCTAGATGTAATATCTGAACAATGTGGGAGGAAAAGGTCCCCCAACTCGATATTGTTGATTATCATCTTTATCTAAGTTTTGTTTGTTGATTGTCAAATATTAAAAGACACTCGGTAAACTTTGTGTCTATATATACAACTTGAACATAACTCACTGGAGTTGGTTAAACATGAAAATCAACCATCACACATTGGCAAACCTCTATACCACTTTTTTCTCTGACTTGTAAATAACATGGCATTAAGAAAAGTCTCCTGTATAATGAATAGGTTGTATGTCTTTGTGAAGTGAACAAATCTTGAATGAAGAAATAGAAATTCAGCCTCACATTGATATGTGACTGTTACAATTTCACATGTTTTAATGAAAATCACATCAGAGGCGAGGCGTAAGTAATTATGTTTAAATGGCCGACTTTTGACTACAGGTGGTTTGTCAGTAGAAATGTCCTCCATGGGTAAGTTTGGTTGGTGTTCTCAGCACATATACTTAATGTATTGTTGTAATGATGGCCTGGCAATATAAATGTTTGCTTCCAGTTCACCAGACCATTTTTACCTGAGTTTTGGTTTTGGTGACAAGGCAATAAATAGAACCCTAAGACCCTTTTTACATAAAGTTTTATTTGAGTTTTGGATATATTAGGCATTAGATACCCGAGACATTTGTAGAATTGAGTTTATTTGAGTTTTGGTGACAAGGCAATAGAACCCTAATACCCCTTTTACACAGAATTATATTTTGTTTTGGATATATTAGACATTAAATACCTGAGACATTTGTAGAATTGAGTTTATTTGAGTTTTGGTGACAAGGCAATAGAACCCTAAGACCCTTTTTACACAGAATTATATTTTAGTTTTGGATATATTAGACATTAAATACCCGAGACCATTGTAGAATTGAGTTTATTTGAGTTTCGCGATAAGGGAATAGAATCTTAGGACACTTTTTGCACAGAATTTTATTTGAGTTTTGGATATATTGGACATTAAATACCCGAGACCATTGTAGAATTGAGTTTTATTTTAGTTTTTCGCGATAAGGTAATAGAATCTTAGGACACTTTTTACACAGAATTTTATTTGAGTTTTGGATATATTAGGCATTAAATACCCGAGACCATTGTAGAATTGAGTTTTATTTTAGTTTTTCGCGATAAGGTAATAGAACTCAAGACGCTTTTTACACAGAATTGTATTTGAGATTTAGATATATTAGGCTTAATATACCTGAGACATTTGTAGAATTGAGTTTATTTGAGTTTTGGTGACAAGGCAATAGACCTCAAGACGCTTTTTACACAGAATTTTATTTGAGATTTAGATATATTAGGCATTAGATACCCGAGCCATTTGTAGAATTGAGTTTTATTTGAGTTTTGGTGACAAAGTAATAGAAAGTTTATTAAAGACCCTTTTAGCGACAAGGCATTATGAATCAAAGATCTTCATACAAAGTAACATTTAGTTTGGGTGTTAGAGATGAGGTTGTTATATTTAAAATAGCTGAACTTAGGTACCTTTCGATTATTGAAAGTTTGGAATTTTTAAGATTATTCTCTTAAAAAATCATATAAAAGGTAAAAACTTTATTTCTTTAAGTATTTTGTCTTTCTTAAGATAATTTTATAGAAAATATGACACCAATAAAATTCTTGCCTTGATTCATCAATTTCCATTAAATGGAATGAAGCTGGAACTACATTTAATTTTTATTGCTTGGGCCCTGAATGTTTTCATTATTCACCTGTTTGTATTTAATTAAAATGTTCTGTTTGCATTTTATTAAACATATGTGCTACCTTACACATCAAAAATTTACCAATGATTTTTGTATGAGTTATTCCCCTTGCACATACTTATGATTTTGTGTTTGAGATATCTCCCCTAAAACCATTTTTGTAACTATTTAATCATTCACCCCTGACAGCACATTTGAACTCTTCGAATTGAATGGTCAGAATAGTTCATTATGAAATTTCATGGGTGAATAATTCAACTGTATAGATTACCAGAATGTTGGGGATCATCATTGCATGCATTTTTGAAAAGCTTTCCAGCTTAGCTTGTTATCATTTAATTAAAGATTGGTCCCGTCTGAAATTTCCTTTCCGGCAAAATTTATAGATTTGAAAAATCATAGCCTGAATTTAAAAAGAAATGTTTCTACTACAACCATCTCATAAGTAGCAAACCTGAAGTTCAAATTTATATCCTGGAAAGATGTTTTACAAGGTTTCTTAATGTATTTAGAACTCTTTTGTAGTACTCTGGGGTTCAAGTTAAGTCCCAGTAAGGTAGCACACATATAAACTATTTACTGAGTAGTTTTCAATTAACAGTCTGTCGAATGGTATGTAATGATTTTGTGTTGTTGAATGGTATGTAAGGATTTTGTGTTTTCAGTTTATATTTGCTCACAATTTTTCACACAATATACAATTTTAACCAATGATCTGCATGATCTGATGGCTTCACATTAAGTATAGCCCCTTATAGTCTTACCATGTGATCTTGAAATTAACTTTTTTGTATCAGACGTGTATACAACGTATATAAATGAGTCTAAACTTCTGGAGTTTTAATTGTGATCACACAGCATCTATCAGCTGTCTAGCTGTTATTATTTAATTTGTCATTTTTTTTACGTTTTCAACCTCTTTCCTTAATTGCAACCCATTCACCTCTAAAGTCACATTTGAACCATACCAAATCAAAGACTGGACAAGTCCAGGTTAGATATGCAGGGATGAATGATTAAATTGGGCTTAACTAAATGTAACCCTGGTTATCAACACCACACTTTGATAATACCAGTTATATGATACAAGGGTGAAAAGATTTACCTTAGTCAAGGACCTGATTGTCTTACTATAACCAGCATCATGGTCGATAGGCAAACCTCAGCTAAAATCTTTATAATAGCCTGATTTGAAAATAGTCTGGCTTTGAAAATAGGCCTGGGATTCCTTACAGTAATGTTTTGCAGTTTTGTATACAGTGTGTGCTGCACAAGCCACTGACTCATCAGCTGGGAGTGCTGATGCTTGCATCATTCAGGCTGGCATCATACCATTTGCCTAGGCACTCTATAGGATTGTCTACTATATGGATGCTATGTCTTCTCCCTACACCTGGAGGTTGGACCTTCCCCTTCCTGATTACCAGACTCTGTCTCATCCAATGCCGAGTTTGGTGTAAATATTCCATCTGCCTGTTGCCAACAATCTGGTACATTACCTTTCTTCCAAACCACTTTCCAGGAAATTCCAAAGTCGTCGTAGAACCTGTGGACACATCGTATATACTATATAGGGAATACTATTTGGTCCTGGTGCAGACCCTGTTCTTACCTTCATCACCACTTCGGTTACCTCTTTCAGTGTAGGTTCCTTTGTTGTTTAAGTGGAGTGGGCGGTTATTGCTGCTGGTTCAGTCCTCTGGCAGTTACCCAATGGGACGTCTCCGATAGAATCAGTGCGTTTTCATCAATGGGACGTCTGTGTTAGAATCAGTGCGTTTCCATCAGAAACTGTGTGATTCCTTCCTTTTGTTCTCTATCTTGCCTGATTTCTCTTTATCTAGCAGATTTTTGGAGAATTTGAATGGATTTGATATGAATTCAGCTCGACGCTAGGCTCTTTTATTACTCTTGTCATGCAGCTGCTATGCTTTGCGTAGGCTTATAAGTGATGCCCTCAGGGTATCTCTCAATTGCTGCAGTCCTGACATCTCTTCTTCCCTGGCCTCTCTATATCTCTTTCTCAAGACCTTCAGTTCACACCTGATGTCCTTGATCTGCCGCCGCCTTCTGTTTGTCTGTCCAGTTGTTTTTGGAGCTTTCTGAAGGATCTGTCCAAATCTTTCTTTCCCAACAGTGTAAACTAGTCTTGTTTAGGATTCCAGTTTTCGTTCAGCTGCACCTTGAAGTGTGTTTTAAGTATTCCATGAAGGTCTTTATCTAGATCTTTCCAGACTTTCTTGTCTGCAGTCCTGGGCCAAACTATTCTTGGCTTTCTTGGCAACCATCCTCCTTGTGAGCTGCTGTTGAGGTGGCGTGCAGTAAGTCTGAATTTGTCTCTGGGTCACTCTGCGTTTCTAGTAACGCTGATAGTAGTTCGTCGTCATCAAATACTTCTCCTTGTACATACCTCCATTCCTGACTGCTGTGTGTTGATACTGATTAAAGCTCCTCAGTCGCTGTGGGGTCCCCAGTACTGTGGGTGTGTTCTGACAAGCATCCTCCATCTTCTCACTGGATATAAAACTGAGCACTGCTGCTGACTTGCCTTGTGCCCACACACAGTTTTTGCTAACGATGGATGTGCAAGCCCAAAAGGTTCTTCCAGACTTAACCGCACCTACATTCGTTTCTGCTTTCATTCCAGTCAAAGTTGATTGGACAAGCTGTGTCATTACTGTTGTATCCGTTCTAATGAGTCTTTCATCCTCTTCCTCCTTTCAGAAGATTCTGAGGGTATTTTTTTGTAATGGAGTCTGTAGCTGAATAATGGGTGTCCTCTTACATAGACTGCAATCTGGGATGCTACCCCTTATTGCTCCTGGCCAGTCTGTTTCTGGTCGCCACCTGTCTTTCCAGTGTCACCAATCTATTCTTGATTGCCATCTAGTCTTTCCTAGAAGTTACTTGTTCCCAGGAAGGTAATGTGGTGTTGTATAAAGCGAGAGCTGCACAAAACCTCCGACTCATCAGCTGGAAGCCGCCAATCAACAAGTGTTTCATCCTTTATTCCCAGGACACTTTCCAGGTGGTGGAACCGCAGTGCTGATCAGGCACTACGGGTCAGTGGTTAGCTGCCAGCCCTCCTCCCTCTTGACCCATAGCCAACTGGATGCTTTCTCTGCTGACTGTCTAATCTACTGTTGAAACAGAGGGCATTTGCATAACCCAATTGGTTGTGAGTGCGGCAAGATTCTGTTCTTTGTCCACTTTTGATATAATTATAGGTGTGCAACAAGGTTCTGTTCTTGTTCCACAGTTGATAGATGTAAACACATACACAGTATATTGCACCTTCAGAATTTACAATTTGCCAGAGAAATTGAATTACCCTGCATCTGACACTCTCCGGGCGCCGTTACTGCAGTGCTTAATTATCAAGTACCGGTAGTTAACTGCCATCTCTTCTCCTCCCTCTTGATCCACAGCCAGCTAGATGCTTTCTCTGCTTACTGTCCAAGTCTCCCAACAGCTCGCTTTCTCTTGCCTCCTTTGATCCCTAGGGCACTTAAATTAGCATTCTCTTGACAGATTGTGAAGGAAATCCTCTGGCGCCAATCTTAATCAGGACACCATGTTTTCCAACCACAGCTTCTGTACTGGTCTAGAAGCTCGGTATACATGGCCTTCTTCCGCTCATATGCCATGTCGCACCTCGACTTCCATGGGACAGTGAGTTCTATGGTCACCAGCTTCTTGTCTTAAGCAGACCATATCACAATGTCTGGCCTCTTTGTGATCTGGACTATCTGTGGGAAGACCAACTTCTTTCCTAAGTCGACCCTCATTTCCCACTGGTCAGACTCGTCTCGGATCGAAGAGGTGGTTGAATCTGGCTTCATGCTTGTCATGGTGGGTTCTCTCTTCTTTCTATAGTTTTTTCCCTTTTCTCATGCTCCAGTATATGTCTGCTAACTCCCTAAGCACTGAAGCATGCCTCCACCTGTATCGGCCCTGTGTCAGTGAAGTCAAGTATATCTCAAAAGTAAGCCAGTTTTGAAAAAAGGCTGGTCTCGAAAAGATACATTTGATTCCTTGCAGTCAATTTGCTGTCAATACAAAAAAATATTAAAATATCTATAGCTTAATTTGCATTATACTTTATTACAGCACCAAACACTTTGCAGGAAATACATAAACCATGTCTAATGTAAATAGTTGTGATTATTTATAGCAATAATGCAACTTTATGAACCATTTAAAAAACCTGACATGTGAAACAGCCTTGAAAATAAACATGTCTTCCAGTCTAATTGGCCTATAAAATAAAATGGTCTTAGAAATAGACTGGTTTCAAAATAAGCCTGAAATTTTAATCTTATTTTCAAGATTTTAGGGTCGTATCTTTACCTGAAATGATAGTTACGGCTTAGCTCCTTCTAAACAGACCTAAAATCTGTTCTTCAAGTTCTCAAGTTTTATCAAGTTGCTTCAGATAAATGGTATTTTTGTTGATTTTTTTAGAGGCAGATTTTTTATGTTTTGGAGAGCTGTTTGCAGAATTGAGAGTAAATATTCTATATACATTGTACTTGCTGGTATTGATTTAGAATCCCATGACAAACAGGCCTATGCATTGTTGTTAGATTTGGTAGTTTTTAACCTCTAGTTAATGTTTGAATATGCTAATAAATTCTATTACTGAATGATACAGCATCGTCCTGATTGTCCGGGTGTGGTAATAACATCCTAGCTTACACATAAACTCTGAATTTGTTCATCTTACAAGAGGTTAAAACAGTGTTTTAGATTTAAAATTAGTCTTCTTAAAAGAAGTTGAACTGGTTTGTTTTCAGTTGTGGTGGGTAGTATTATTGGTGTAAAGATGTGATTAACAACATTTATTTTTATCATCTTGTCCTGATAATCTTTCTCCCACTCTCTTAATCCCTGACTGTCTCTGTCTCTATCTGTCCATCTGGGTCTACCGCCCTTTCTCTTTATCTGAAATCTACCCATCTTTCTTATTTTGCACTCCACCCAAATCTGGCCATCTTTCTGTCTTTCTAGCGATATGAGTCTGTCTTTTGTGTTATCCACTTGAATTTATCCATTTTTCTTTCCTTTTCTGCATCTGAATCTGTCTATCTTAATTACTCTCTGAGTCTGTTTTTGTTTCTACGCTTGACTCTATCCATCTTTCATTCCTTTTCTCTGCCTGAATCTTTCTGTCTTTCTGTCTATTAAATGTTTATGTCTATGTTTTCTTCACCTTTCTTTCCACTTGAGTGTCCATCTGTTTTCTTTCTTTTTTTTGTCTTTTTTTGTGTGTGTGTCTTCCAGGGTATTGAACCTCACTCACAAAACAAACCGTCATGAGACTATGACCACTGGTGCATTTTGCGAGAGCATGTTATTGCATCCGTTCAGTTTAGGAAATTTAAAAAAGTAAAACACTATCACACAATTTGTTTGGCCATGATGTAACATATATATGTAAAGGCATCAGAAGTCGTTGTGATGGTAAATATAGAAGAAAAAAAGAAAAGCTGAGATCTGTTAAACTTACCTGAGTTCTGTCACCTCTATCGAGATCGAGGAAACGTATTTGGTATCTCCGAAATTGTTTTCTTACAAAATTAAATCACTATGCATTAAATTACATATACGGCTGATTGCTACTTGGTTTTATGTGTGTATACATGTAGATATAGTAGATATAATGACAGCTGATAGTTATCACTGTATATATAGAGAGTAGATATGCAGCTTATCAATGCCATACTGTATACATGTATAGTTACAATTTTGTATGGTTTACTACAAACTGGCATATTGCAAACTTATTCTTTATAGCAATTTGTCTTCCTTGCCAATGAATTCTGTCAATGGACATCAGAGTTAATAGTAAAATTGGCTTAATTGAACCATTTGATCTGACTCGCCTGAGGTGTACCCAGGTTTTGCTCTACAGATGTTATTGTACATATCTTCTATATTACTTTAAAGATGAGGACACTACTGCACAATTCCAATCAGACTTCTGTTTTAATGGGGTTTACTACTGCACAATTCCAATCAGACTTCTGTTTTTATGGTGTTTTTTTAAATTTTATACAGCATTACTGTTTTACCCAATTTTGAAAGTTTCTTGACCCTTTGGTCTCCAAAACTTAAGCATACTCATTGGAAATTTACTTTCATGGATAACCTAGACTGAAAAAAAATAGTGTATGTGTCCTTTTTTAACACAGAAATCTTATTTTCTCTACAAAAAGTAACAATTCGTATCATTGAATTCATTTATGTTTGACCTTGACCTTACTTTTGCTTGACCTCTGTGTGACATGTTACAGGTCATCGGCGAGACTCTTTCCCCCATATTCACCACCCTCTTAAGGCACTGCGTAGCAGTCGCTCCTGCAAGAGCGTCAGGGATGACAAACCAAAGAAAAAGAAGAAGAAGAAGAAAAAGAAGAGGAAGATGCACACTGTCAAGAGTTTTCCATCACGTTCGGCCACACTGTCGCCATCAATCCCCGAGGTGGAAGTGGAGGAATATGAGGTATGTCACAAAGTATATGTGGTCTGATTACCATTATAATCTGTACCATGTATAATCTAAATATAACTGCACTAATACATGTATCAAAACTAATAGAGCCATCTTATGTCTGAAGTGGAGGTTTTACTCTTACCCTGGACAGGAATGTCCACACTGTTTTGGTGTGAGATAAATAGAGTTTCTCACCCCCTTGGTGAGATGGGAAAATGTCAACTAAAGGAGGAAGATTCTTAAGTTGTCAAACATGAGGCTTTGTCGAGCGTTTGGCAACTAAAGATTCTTTCCCCGACGGTTGAGATTCCCCTATTTCACCCTCAAGGGGGTGAATGATTCTTTTTCTCTTACCTTCTTCACCGATTATGTATCATATTCATAATGTAATGACGTCACTTTAACAATACAATGACGTCATGTCAACAATCCATCAACGTCACGTCAACCCTGAATTTAGCATGTAACATTATCATAACATTGTGTATAGGATACACATTGCGAGAACAGGGTAAGAGAAAAAGAATCATTCACCCCCTTGTGTGTAAGATAGGGGAATCTCAACCCTCGGGGAAAGATTCTTAAGTTGCCAAACATAAGAATCTTCCCCCTCGGGTTGAGATTACCCTATCTCACCCCCAAAGGGGTGAGAGATTCTATGAGTCTCAACCTTTGATGGAGACGGGGGTATTCCCTAGTCTCAATTGTATGAAGTCACGTCTACAATACAATGACGTCATGTCTACAATGCAATGACGTCTACAATGCATTTAAGTCACTTCAACAATGCATTGTAACATCAACATTGCATCATGTATCATTTCAGTTAGAGAAAAAGAATCATTCACCCCCTTGAGGTGAGATTTGGAATCTCAACCCTCGGGGAAACATTCTTAACTTGCAAAATACTTGGCAAGCCTCTTATTTTACAACTTAAAAAACTCTTCCCCTTCAGGTTGAGATTCCCCTTTATCATTCTGAAGGGGGTGAACGGTTCTGTTTATCTCGAGTCTCTAATCCGAACTGTAGAGTATTTGAGACGCCATATTGATTTTGGCCAATCTCATCACCGAGTAGATTTTAAGGAATAAAACACACCTCATATTTGATATAGAATATGGAAATACAGGATAATGCAGTGTGTGTTGATAGTAAACGTACACAGTGCACCATACAAACTTGACTAATCAGTGACAGAAAAACTGAAATGAATACACAATGTACAACGTAAACTGTATTTTCAAGTCTTCAAACCATTATATTCAGTCATTTTATTAGACATTTAAAGCCTAGACTTTATTTTGTGATGTATGTTGGGAATATTGGCTGCCTACGTTTAATTTCCCCATATACTGTCAATGATTATGTTGAGAATGCTCATGTTATGATGGGGTTCAACTGGGAATATATTCAAAGGCCACATACCAAGAAATTGATAAGAAAAAGCAAGTAGATAACTTTGGACCCTTAATAAAAACAACTTACAATGTATCAAAACATCATGTGGACTCTGAGGGAAATTAGCCTTTGGCTAAATCAGGATTTAATCCTCAATAAATAAAATTTATTATTATCATGTTTGCATTTCTGTTGCCACTAGATTTCCCCGGCGGGGTCTTCATCTTCTTCAATGTCAAGTGATGACTTTGACGACTACAGAGTTGGGGATGAAATTGACTCAATGTTACTGGTCCCTGCCCAGCACCAGTCTGAGGCAAGTCCGAAGGGGCAGCGTACACCCCAGCCCTCAAATGATGACTTTAAGGTCGGGTTTTATATTGGGGACAGAGCAACTTCTCCCATTCACGAGGTGGACAAACAGAAGAAAGACGAAACAACAGTGAAAGCAACCTCTCCAAATAAAATATTTTATGTCGGAGATTATGCTGACGAACCACAGTTGTCCCCGCCAGCGACTCTTGACCGACACCAAAGTGATTATGGAGTTTCCTATGAAGAGCCAAAGCACAGTGTCAAGTTTTCTATTGGTAAGATTTATTTAGTTCATATTTTTATGTAATTAAGTCCTTTTGTGAAACCATAATCGATGCAGCATCTTAATTTAGATATTTAGGAAAGGATTATACTTCTGTAATTTGCTTGTTTGGATCGCATATGACATTAAAATAAAAACACTTCATTGATATCTTGGCTCTAGTCAGAAACACATATGATATGATAAACTTATATGTTGTGTAATCAGGTATTATTAGCTCAACTCATGGCCCAAAGGGCCAAGTGAGCTTATGGCATGGCACGTCGGCCGTCTTCTGTCGTCCATCCAGTGTCAACTTTTTACTTTAAACAACTTCTTCTCAATAACCAAGAGGCCCAGCTGGCTGATGATATTTGGCCAGTAGCATGCTGGGAAAGGGCTACCAAGTTTGTTCAAATGAATGACCTTTACCAACTTTCAAGGTCACAGGGGTCAAATGTCTTAACATCTTCAAACAATTTCTTCTCAATAACCAAAAGGCCCAGGGTACTGATATTGGGCCTGTAGCATGCTGGGATGAAGGGCTACCAAGTTTGTTCAAATTAATGACCTTGAACCACTTTCAAAGTCAGAGGGGTCAAATGTCTTAAAATCTTCAAACAACTTCTCCTCAATAACCAAAAGTGTAGTATGCTGGGATGAAGGACTGCCTAGTTTGTCCAAATAAATGACCTTGACCCACTTTCAAGGTCACAGGGGTAAATTGTCATAAAATCTTCAAACAACTTCTCCTCAATAACCAAAAGGCACAGGGTACTGATATTGACCCTGTACCATGCTGGGATGAAGGACTACCAATTTTGTTCAAATGAATGACCTTGACCCACTTTCAAGGTCACAGAGATCAAATGTCATAAAATCTTCAAATCCCTTTTACTCAAAAACCAAAAGGCCCAGGGTACTGAAATTGGGCCTGTAGCATGCTGGGATGGGAGGGCTACCAAGTTTGTTTAATGAATGATCATGACCCACGTTTAACCTAATGTCCTTGTTCAACATTCAAGGTCACAGGCGTCATATGTTTGAATCTTTTAATAGGTTCTTTTGAATCAAACACTGATATTCTGCCTGTAGCTGTATTTTAGTCCACTTTAAAGATTACAAGTGTGAAGTTAACACCAGGTGAGCGATGCAGGCCCATTTGGCCTCTTGTATATTACTAAGGAGGCTACACTCATTCACAATTGACCAGCAGAATCTGATGAAAATGTAACCTGATGGTTATGCAACAATGTGAAGATGGTTTTATGAAAACCTAAGCTTTCCAAATTGTCCATTTCTTTGTATTCAATTGTTTTGGGATGTGTAGCATTGTTTGAAACAAAAAGCTAGAAATTTGTAATTTTTGAACATAAAAAACATTCATATGTATATATATATATACAGGACTCGTGCTGGCGGTTGACAATAACTGTTTCTAGACCAACGATCATAAGCATTTTTCTTATGCCAATCTGAGATCATCTAATTAAAGAGTAAAAAGTGCATGGTTGAACTTCCTGGTAGTTCAAATTTCTGCACTGTTAAATGGCAATTTGTTGTCAAAACAGCAAAATACTAGATCAGAATCAATTAAAAAAAAACATTTGTGTAAAAATTATGTTTCTTACTTAATGTTATGTGTTATCCAGTGAATATACCCATGTCTCAATTTTTGGCGTATTAACCCATGTAATATGACCTATCAGCCCTGTGATTGTTTGTAAATTTCAACAGTGACGTCACCTTTGGACAAGTAGACATGACATCACAGATTTACGTACTGGGGTCATAATGGCAGCTTTTTACATTTCAAGGTTGCATGAAAATTGTCGTTTTACAAGAAATAAATGCCACAAATATTGATTATGTGATAAAAAGGATCTTACACTCATTTTCATTTCATATGACATTTATGAAACTCGTCACAAGTTGTTCAGTTTAGCTTGCCAGAGGCTAGCTAAATTGAAAAATTCTTAGACTAGTTTCATCAATCTCATATGAAACTCCTATGTACGATTCTCTGAATCTTAAAACACAAGTGATGATGATGTGTTACAGGGGCAGAGGACAGCATTCCTACACTGAAAAGTGATACATCTTTGGAGAGTCAAGGGGACGGAACAAACCAACCACTTCATGCCTCTAGCAGGTATGTTTAAAGGTTAATGATGTCAAGGTCATAGGTCAATAAGGTTAAACTGAATTTTCTAAATTCTGAAATTTAGTATGCAATGTCATGTAAAATTATGAAGTGAAAATGACTTTTAAATGACTATCATTTTCTTCTTAATTGTTGTCATCATTTCTCGTTACAATTTCCCATCTTTTGTCATCATGTTCATTGCTCGTCATCATTTCCGATAGAAAATGTCATCATAACCTGTCATTTGTCATCAGTTTCTATCAGTCGTCATCTTTAAAATAATATTTTTGTCACATGATAGATCTGAGCCACGGATCCAAAAACATCGTCACAAACACCACAATCATGATCCTTTCAAACATGAAGACTTGTTACTACGACGACAGATCGGAAGCGAAGTTAAGATGGAGGACTACCTCAAACATGTTCCCACCGAAACAGAGGAAGCCATTTTACTTCAAAAGGCTGATTTGGATGACATGACAAGTATGTATACACAAATATTTCACTGATGTCAGACTACAGTCCTCCATATTACCGAAGACTAACTAAGACAGACTATGCTGCATCAAAAATGTTGGGACCATGAAAAAATTACTATCAGGAGGTGTTCATCCAATAAATTTTGTTCTTTACAAAAGCACTTTACTGATAATTAAATCTGTGATTTCATTTCTTTATAAGCTATGGTGCAGGATCGCACAACACTGCATCAAGGGTCATCATCTATATGTGACCCCTGAAGTGGTGCTGACAGACCTTACGACTTAGTGTATTGTAAAGATACGGAATGAAGAAGAACAATTTATCTTGGATAGTAGAAGGACTTTAGAAAGATGTAAATCTGTATTTAATTTTGTGAAGAGTTTAAACCATTTTTACAGTAAAAGCACTTGTTATTAGATTGCATTGACCTTGAGCCGACATCAGAAAATATCATAGTTATATAACAAATTAACTGTTGGTCTGTTTAAAAAGATATAACTTAACATCTTCAAGTTGACGTTTGTCTTTTCATCTTTTAGTTTGTTTGATCTCATTTCCTTTTACATGTTTTATCTACCTTTTATTGGCCCTAATGACCTCTTCTGTGTTAACAGCCTTAAGAACCCAATAAATATATAAATAAATTCTGTGACACTTCATGAAACATACCTGTGTATTATACAGGCCATCGTTTGGAGAACGTGCGTGGAATTCGACGTCACAAAATAGCCAAGCACAACGCTGTAGCATCTATTGTCCACATCGGGAAATCTGACAGGGGCAAGAAAAAGCCAACCTTTAAGAGAAAGAAGATAGACCACAGTCCCCACGAGGTAAATACTCAGCTTCTAAATTCTCGACTGGTAATGGTTGGTCTTTAGGTCACCTGCCCAAAGGGCAAGTAAGCTTATGTCATGGTGCGGCATCCGCCATCCGTCTGTCCGGCGTTAACTTTTGACTTTAAACAACTTCTTCTCAGTAACCAAAATCCTAGGATGGTGATATTTGACCAGAAGCATTCTGGGATGAAGGACTACCAAGTTTGTTCAAATGAATGACTTTCATCCATTTTCAAGGTCACAGGGGTCAAATATGTCAAAATCTTTTAACAAATCTCCAGAATAACTAAGAGACCTGATGATATTTGGCCAGTAACATGCTGAGATTTAGGGCTACCAAGTGTGTTCAAATGAATGACCTTGACATATATTCAATGTCACGGGGTCAAATATGTTAAAAACCTTTAAACAACTTCTTCCGAATAACCAAGTGGCCTAGGCTGAGTATATTTGGTCAGTACTATGCTGGGATAAAGGGCTACGAAATTTTTGTTCAAATAAATGACCTTCATCCATTTTCAAGGTCACATGTGTAAAATATGTTTAAAACCTTTAAACAACTTTTCTGAAAAACCAAGAGGCCTAGGATAAAGGTATTTGGCCAGTAACATGCTGGGATGAAGGATTATCAAGTTTGTTCAAATGAATGACTTTCACCCATATTCAAGGTCACAGAATAGCCATGAGGCGTAGGGTGATGATATTTGGCCAGTAACATGCTGGGATGAAGGACTACCAAGTTTGTTAAAATGAATAACCTTCGCCCATATTCAAGGTCACAATAGTCAATGTTCTGTATAACGAAAAGGTCCAGGGTAATGATATTTTGCCGAAAGCATGTTGGGTTGGACGTCTATAAACTCTCTTCAACCTAATGTCCTTGTTCGACATTCAAGGTCACAGGCGTCATATGTTTGAATCTTTTCATAGGTTTTTATGAATCAAACACTGATATTCTGCCTGTAGCTGTATTTTAGTCCACTTTTAAGATTACGAGTTTTGCATGTTAAATTAAACTTAACTGAATATTTATTTCATTAAAAAAAAATTAAAGGGCCAAGTGAGCTTATGCCATGGTGTGGCGTCCGTCGTCAGTCCGTCCGGCATCAATATTTTTCTTTAAACAACTTCTTCTCAATAACCAAAAGGCCTAGGATCATTTTGGCCAGTCGCATGCTGTGATGAAGGGCTACCAAGTTTATTCAAATGAATGACCTTGACCAACTTTGAACGTCACAGGGGTCAAATGTCTTAAAATCGTCAAACCACTTCTTCTTAATAACCAAAAGGTCAAGGGTACTGATATTGGGCCTGTAGCATGCTGGGATGAATGACCTTGACCCACTATCAAGGTCACTGGGGTCAGATGTCTTAAAATCTTCAAACGACTTCTTCTCAATACCCAAAAGGCAAAGTGTACTAATATTGGGCCTGTAGCATGTAGGGCTACCAAGTTTGTTCAAATGAATGACCTTGACCCACTTTCAACCTAATGTCCTTGTTCCACATTCAAGAATACAGGCTTCATGTTTAAATCTTTTAATAGGTTCTTGTGAATCAAACACTGATATTCTGCCTGTAGCTGTATTTTAGTCCACTTTTAAGATTACACGTCTAAGATGAATACCAGGTGAGCGATGCAGGCCCATTGGACCTCTTGTAATGAATGGCAAAATAATCTCCAAAGAAACTTTTGGGATGATGTAGTGGGATTTGGCAGATATTTTATTAGGTTCATGCAAATTTGAAAGAAGAGCACTTAGTCAAATGAATATATGTACACAGCTTATAGTTTAGCTTGTTGGTGTTTTGTCATCATTATCACTGATTTTGCAAACAAATGATACAGAAATTATTAAAACTTTACTGTAGTCCTTGATTACTATCTTTTGAATACATCTTTAAAATAAAGAAATTGTCTAACTAACCAGTAGTGAGTAAATTTGGTTTTACAAACCTGCAATATTTTGCTGATATTTAGCAAAGGGACCCCATTCTTAGAAAGTGGAGAAAATGGGTACTGCTAGCTTATGGCAAAAACAGCTTATTTCCAATTATCTAGTAAATATTTTTCTAATCTGTATAAAATCTAGGACAGGTTTTCAAATGGGTCTGGGTTGAGTACAATCGATAGGCAATATGAAATATAAAAAAAATATAATTCACCTGTGCAGGTGTTTGTGGAACTTGACGAGTTGTACCTGGGGGAAAATGACTACGAATGGCGAGAGAAGGCCCGATGGATCAAGTTTGAGGAGGATGTAGAGGAGGGGGCTGAGAGATGGGGTAAACCTCACGTAGCCTCACTGTCCTTCCATAGCCTTCTGGAGCTCCGACGAGGTCTTGAGAGCGGTAGGTTGGGAAGATTTGTACGAGAAAACCTGTTGTAATCAAACACAGCCAAGACAATTGTTTTCATTCAGATTTGACAAGTTTAGTTATGTGTATGTTATCTTAGTTTGTTTTGGTTTAGCTATTTTTTTCACACTTCGGTTTTCCCGGTATTTTCTTATCTCTTTGTTGATCACACACACAGTGTCATTTGTCAAAGTTGCAGTCAGTGTAAATTGCGGTTTGGCTTACAATAGCCGAGCAGATGACTGTTTTTAAATATTAACTCACTATATTATAACCTATTATATTATCTATTAATGTAATATACACATGTTCTGAGCTATCCAGTGCCTTGATAAAGGTGAACCCAACCTTTTCACGTCCGATCTGGGAATCGAACCCCGGCCACCTTGGTGAAAGGCAATTGCGCTATCAGCTGCACCACCCAACCACCCTGTGTTAATTGCTGTGTCGAATGCCTGAGAACCAGTGTTATGTTTATGATGTATAGGTTGTTTGTTTTATCTTATGTAATCATATTTTTGATATGGGTGCAGAGGCCTAAAGCCTGCGTCCATTACAATTCCTAATCAATCGCAATAAACCTTGTGTTGTGTACGATGGTTAGGCTGCTTGCTGTTGGACCTGGACGCCTCTGATCTGCCAACAATTGTAAACAGCGTCATTGACACCATGATTATACATGATCAGCTTCGACCTGAAAACAAGGGGAACGTACTCCGCACTCTTCTACTAAAACACAGGTATGGGTTTAATAAAGTTTTTAACGTAACTTTATCACTAAAAAGTTTTATGGAGAGTGTTAAATGTATAAACAGCTTTTGTTGACTTTTGAATGCTTCATATTGTTTGTAATTTCAATTTGTTGTAAAAATGAGCCTATATTGTTTGATTTTCCAAGCTATCATTACACATAGATCAAGTTTTTTTGCTAGCATTTTTTTTTAATTGCTGTGTCGAATGTTTGAGAACCAGTCTCTATTAGATAGTAAATTGGATGTGTGTAATTTATGCATAGGTGTGGAACACTTAGCAGGTAATTGGTCATCAGTGTTTAATAACGTCCTATCAACGGCTAAGGTTATATAAGGACATAGATGATTCCATAGATTAAAGGGTTTATATGTTTCCAGTCAGAGTGATGTTGTCAGCTTGCTGTGATGGAGATTTAAGCACAGTTTGGGCAGCTTTTACATATCCAGATTTTATTATATGCACTGCCATTGCACATTGACATGCCATGTTGATGTTATATTTGTGTGCTGTCAAAGAAGTTAGTTTCGTTAGTATTTTTATTTAAATCCATCCTAGAATCCATCTGTAGATAGTGCAGTGTGTGCATCATATCAATCTTTTCAATTTACTAAATAAACTAAATTTAACACCAAATTTTATTATTTTATTTTACACACTTTTCCAAAAAAAAAATTATAAAAAAAATCAATAAAAAAAAAAATCTTTTGTATGGCTAACTTTCACAGAAATACAAAATCATTTTATTTTGCCTTTTGTTTTATTCAATCAAACATAAAATTTTAAAAGACATTTCAATTGGAAGATAAATAATAGGCAAAAGCGTGATGTGATTTGGATGATTTTTTTCCCATAACTTTTAATAAAGACGGATTGTATTGCTGATATTTTTTTTATTTTTTTTTAAGTATAGGCAATAATTCAAATAAATTTGATTGATATGACACATGCAAAACATTGAAATTTGTATTTCATCGTACATCTGAACTCCGAGTATTCCCCTACGTACTTTAGAACAGTTAGTCCCCGGCTTTGTCTCTGCCAAGGTTTGGATAGGATTATATTATTAACTACCAGGGTCAGTGTGATCGAACAACAACTGTTAGCCTAAACATTTGCTGACCTTTTTTTTTACAGTTTATAGGAAAATTAATGATATTTGGGAAACTACATTCTAAAACCAATTGAAATTTCTTTCTTAAACCTCTCACCACTGCAGACCATAATGGACTCGTCCAGATCAATACATGGTTGTGTCTACTAAAGTTATATAGGGGTGAACATCAGGTTTTCAAATACATGTAGTTGTTTACACAAATGATATAAATTATATAGAAATAAAAAATATTGCTCATTGCTACCAAATATCATAAGAAGTAGGAATACTACAAAGATCACACTTCATCATTTATTGCTACAAAAAAACAAAAAATCAGGAAGAAAGGAATACATTTCAATTACAAAATTCCTACAGGGAATGTAACAGAGTAAACAGCTACAGTCATTCTACGTCCTGAGAATGATTGACAGTTGTTTATTTATTATGCAGGAAGATAGATTAAAACAAGCACTCTCTGTTTATTTATTATACAGGAAGATAGATTAAAACAAACACGCTACTTCATTTATTCATTAATTTCATGCTATAAAAATTAAAGTGGAAGATTTCACTAGATAAAAAAAAAAAGAAAAATCATGTACATTTAACATTGTGAATATTTGAAACATTTCACAATACACACACATTATCTAATTAATAAAAAAAAATGGAATCCATCATCAAACTTTAAACACCTTTTAATTTGTATCTCATAAAGTGCTTTAATTGTATCACTTTTAATTTTAAAGATCTGGTGCATGTAAAAAATCCTGACATTTTGTAAGAGTTGTGGTCTTATCTCCACCACAATAGAAAACAGTGAATGTTATGCCTGAATGTTTGAAAGAATTTAGTGTTTAATATTATTTCAAAAATTATTAATTCATCCAAGAAATAATATAATTCCTGACATTTCAGATAAGACTTACTGTCTTATTGTTATTAATATTATTTCAAGTTTTCCTGATACTGAAAAAAATATTTCTTAATATTATTCATTCATAAAAATGATGAATCAAATAATTAAAAAATTTGTGATACTTCAAAAATATTTGTTGTCTTATAATATCACTCATTTATGAAAAATTAAGCGTCAGATTTTTTTCATGTACAGAAAATTGTTCACCAGATAATTTTAAAATTCCTACAGGATTTTTTTCACCTATGATTTATTCATAGAAATTGTGCATAGGATAATTTAAAACTTCTCAGAGAATTTCTTTTGTTACAATTTATTCATAAATCATGTATTTCACAAATTAAAAATTCCTGTCATTTCGGAGGATTCTTTTATTATCTATTCATAAAAAAGTGAACCAATCATAAAAAAAAGCCTAGAAAATGATGTGTCCTGTAATGTAAAATTCTTCTCATTTAAACATTTGTTATTGTCATTATTAATTCATTCAGAAAATCAGGATAGGTGAAAATTGAAACATTTTGATATTAAGCAGATGATTATTTTGGATTAAGCTTAAATATGATACATGAAGCGATTATTACCATATAAGTTCACAAACAATGGAGCATGGGACAAATTGCTGTTTAAAAGATAGTGATTGTCTTGTTAGAAACTTCGCATAGGAAATTTAAAATTTGCTGATATTTCTCAAGTTATTTCTGAACTAACTAATTTAATGGCCCCTTGAATAACGAAAAACATCTTTATCTGCAGTTTCCTCTTAATAACTCTAGCAAATATTAGCAAAATCATTCAAACTTGATAACAATTAATGTTTGTGTTCCTATGTCTTTCCAACCATCTCGGGCACTCTTTGGTTTTTCGTGTGATAATTGCTGTAGATATTGTGCAAATATTTCAACCAAATTCTGTATGAACATCCAACTCATGCTAAGTTTGCCAACCGATGTGATTTGTGCATATTTACAGATGATTAATGAGGTTAGTAAATTCTGATGGATTAAACGATTAATTTACACTGTAATACCTACATGTTCAATAAAAAACCTAACTTCTATGTATACGGCTTTTTTTCTTCTTCAAGTTTCAAGCTGTACATTATGTCTCAACAGCAAGATACTCACATGTTTAACCTAAAACTCAATAATGTTAACCTACCATAGGTCCTGCAAGTGGGGGATATAAATTCAACAAGGTTTTTTTTTCATTTTTTTAAAGTTATAAAATATGTGGTTTACATGTATGTATTGGGAATTTCATGTGGGTAAAATTATTTCCTTGGTGATTTAAAGCTTGTGTTTTGATGTGATGCTAAGACTTAAACCAAATCAATGAATATTCATGTCTCTTGAAAACAAATCCTCAGTCAAATTTGTTGTAAAATCTTCCAATCAAAGCTATTTCTTTGTTCATACTTAAAAAAGAGTAGAAATGCAACAAATTTTGTTTATGTTTGATTTTCTTAAAAGCTTCATGTGGCCATTTAACTGAAATAACCAAGCTCTCTTATATTTTACACTTTCATTTATCCTTACTCTCTACACAAGTTCTGATGAAGAATTACCCTTGTCTGAGATAATGATATTTTTTTTTTAATCATATATGTAATTCTTCATTCATACTGATGAAAACATTCCTAGTTATCTTTTATGCTATCTTCGTAATGATTGGGGAACCTTTCATCTTAAAAAGAAACATTCATGTAGAATTAATCTAATTCTGATCAATTTAAAAATATATATTACACTGAATGAGACATGAACATAGACTTTGAACTTTGAACCCATACATTGATTTCAGACATGTCGGAGAGGGCGTGAAATCACTAATACGTCGGAATATCTCATATATGAATCTTAGAGCTATGGGATTGGACAATAAAAACAGGTTGGCGTTTATGTTGCCATGGTTACTAAAATCTCTTCCACTGCGGAAGAAATTTATAAAGCAAATGACCTTGAATTTTGAACATCAAGAACAATTTCATGTTTTTAATTATCATCAAGTTTAAAAAAAAAAAATCAAAAAAATCTTTGTGATTTTGTCTTTCTTTCCTCACAATTCATCTAATCATGTTGGAATTCACAATTAACGATCATTTATTAAATTATCCTTTCCGCGTTTTGCACTTTATTTTGTTATAGTGAATAATTTCAGAATTCAAGACCATCTTCTTTATGTGTGAATGTATACATGGCCTTTTTAACTTTCCTTTCATTTAGTTTGTTTTGCTTATTGCTGTAGTTTTGTGGTGAAGCCACATCTTGTCCTCCTAACACCTATCCTGTAAACCCCATTGACATTGTGAATGCCTAGAATTAGAGTTTACTGGACATGAAAGTTTTATGCTGTGTAGTAAAATGGTGGAGCCAAAGAATGGCAGGAGATATGGTTCACGAAATTTGTGAAAATTTATTGAATATGAACTTTTGAAAACCAAGAAAGTATGCTTTAATTTTATTCTAAAATTCCTTGGATCCACCTCTGCATGATACTGACATTTGAACAGTCACTGACAACATGTGGTGCCTTATATCAATAACTTTGGTTAACATTCATTAAAATGCCAAATTCAGTTCAACTTCTGTTGAAGCAGTTGCATTGCGACTGGTTACCATGGTAATAGTAGCAGTGTTCTGCTACATCATTCACCATGGTAATGAAGGTTGTGTGGTTCACCAAATTTATTCACCACAGTCATAAAGGCATTGCATGTGTCGGCAACCTTGGTCACCATGGTAACGATAGCACTTTGGGGCTTAAGAAACCTTGGTCACTATGGTAACAGTTATACTGCACAGCTCACCGACTTTTGTTGTTATGGTAACCAAGTATCAATGGTGGCTAACTAAAATCCTTTAATAGTCGCCACAGTAACAATAACACTGCATTGCTTAATTCTAACCAATGTTTAGAAAAATTGTACTAGCATAAATGAGAGGAACAGCCTCCTTGGTCACCATGGTGACAATGACACAGTGTGAATAATCGTACATTATTTACACTTTCTTTTTGTTCCTCTTGTAAACATTTAAACTGCTTTTACTTTCTTCCAAAAAGATAAATGCTACACAATCCAAAATTATTAGCCGATGTCCAACCATGTACTGTAGGACCACTTCAAGTGAAAGCTGTGGGATATATTGCTAAATTGTCTGTTGTTTGTTTATCTGTTGGCTGCGATGACAAATTTGAGATTATCTTATTTGTTTAATAATAAATATGATGTCACAAAATTAACAATGTTTATAAATAACATTGATGTCACAAAAGAGTTTTTCAAAGATAGCAGAGGGGATTTGTTGGGACTCGGAGAAATGATAATAACTTAAACTTTTGTTGTAGTTATTATTAACTTAAAAATAACTGGCACAGTTAAAAACAGTTGTTGGCTCGGGTTGCTGGTAGTATATATGTTTTGATAGACCCTCAGCCTACACCATTGTCCCTGGGTCTTCCTTGGTTGTGAGTCTGGTCTCCTGGTTCAACAAATTACATGTCTCCCTCAAACCCAGTCAACAACTGTATATGACTGCATGCCCTTCTAAAATTTAATCTGAAGCCTAGTTGTATCACTACCCGTCAATTCAGGATTGATCATTAGGGCCAATACATTTAAATGCTCAATAAAAACAACTGTACAATAAAAATGACATCAAATGAATGTAAAGGTAGCATCAACTTGAATAATGAAAGTAGGGACTCATAATTTTTTTAAAAGACCAACAGCTTGCAGATAGTTTTAAATTGTAGAGAGAGTTATTGTTTCGAAAAGAGATTCAAGACATGTAACGTTATTAAAGAAATTTTCTGGAGTGGACTGAAGGTCTAATAACAAGTGTTTTACTGTAAATGCTTCAAAATTAGGTGGTCAGCCCACCAATGGTCTCAAGTTCGAGGTAACATTTCAACCTCTTGCCTAGTTCAGATAAAGGAAGTAACAGGTGAGCAGTACAGGCCCCCTGGGACTCTTGTTAATTTACAGCACTAATCAAATATGTATTTTTGTTTCAATTTGTAAGCTAGTGTTTTTCACATAATTTGATGTTGATTAATTGTAGATATGATGGTTCTTGTAGCTATTTCACAATGGCTAGGAACAATCTTGTGTTTATTAGAATGCAGTGTGACTTAATGTTGCTAAATTTACTTCTTTTTCTTCAATTATACTGTATTTGAAGGAATGTAAATGTAAAGCAATACAATAATGACATATGTGGAAATTGTTTGCACCTGTTAATATAAGAAACAAGAAAAACTAGAAATAATTTGGGATAAGGGGATCTTCAGGAGAGAAGTGATTTGTAAGCTGGCTGACAACAAGGTTCTCTTTCCCCATCAGAGTATTGTATTTGCATGTGTTTGAAACTTACCAGAAGTTTCCTGATTGATACAGATTGATATATTGTATTTATACTGTTTCTTTGATCAATAGGTCTTGCATTTACTATTTTGTTTCATATTTCATATTTTAGGAAATCATCAAAAATATTGATATAATGTGGCTACACTATAAAAATGACATGAGTGATCAGATTTGTTTTCTGTGCCAAAAGTGGGTTGTCTTCTCCTGTTACAAGTTCTGTTGCCATTCCTTGTTGTTTGGATGGTCTCCTCATTCCAAAATAGTTTTGAGATGGGTTATTCCCCTTGATATGTGGGTTATTTCCCGTCACATACAAGTTAATTATCCCCCTTTTATATCAGAGTTACTCCCCCTGCCAAATGTGTTGTTTCTCCTGCCAACTCCCCCTTTTTATTTGTAAAAAAATTATAGAATTGAACTCGGTCACTGAGAAGTAATGCCTGACCTACTTCATAAAAGTTAAATTCTTAACGACATCAAAGTTAGCCAAGTCAATTGGATCGTCAAGCCAAATTGATGTGATCTTCGTTTGAGATATTTCTGGCATGAGTCACTCGTAGGAAGGTTAATAGACATGACTGATTGTTCACTTTAGGAGGAGGAACGATAGCACATTGCACATAGTTAAAAGTGCTTGCTGTATTTATATTCTGCAAAAAGCCCAGGGTGGCAAACACTTTCTCTAACTTAAAGATGGAGGTGGGCTGATGATGGGACGATTAATTAGCATTTATTAGCCCTAATAGCTATTGGTGGGCTTATTACTGGACATGGGCTTATTACAGAATAAAATGTAGAGGTTTATTAAGGTACCATGTCAGTGACAGGGGTCATCTTTCAAAATATTGACATGACTATTATTTAAAAAGAAAATATTGTTACAAAATAATGATTTTAACTTGTAACGCTGATTTGTGACATGAATTTATGACATTACTCGGATTCTTGACAACTTTCATGTAACCAGTATTTCTATTTTTCTAACAGTAGACCTGACCACGTATACTTTACAACGGTAGTAGTAGTAGTTCTGGTTTCCTTTGTTCTAAATATTTTCTTTGATTATCTTGAATTCACCATTATAGATGACGTATGTTTCACTGTTTCAGCATGNGCTGAGAGAGTTAGGGGGTGGGAGGACCAAGTCCAGATAGATAAATATTTCCTAAACATTAATGGTCTTTGTTAACAGGTAATATCCTTTTGGATAATCACTGAGCTGTATTACCGATGTAGACTATAAAGAAAATAACAGTGTTTACTATGGATTTTATTTGCATTTTGTCAGTTATATTCATGCATATTTTTGCACAATTACTGTTGTTGTTGTTTTTTTTTAATGTAGCAAAGCAAAAATATAGTGTTGTTATATATAAACAATGTTATTATATTTTATTATATTTACCTCAACAGACTTAAACAATGTTATATTATATTTACCTCAACAGACTAAAACGATGTTATTATATTTACCTTAACATACTAAAACAATGTTTATGTATTTACACCAATCGTAATCTCATTTTGACCACATTGCTTCACCTTGTTGATATATCTTGTGCTATGACGATTTATTTCTGTTTGTAATATTATAACTGTTGCAATATTCTCTTCAGGTTTGAAAATTGGCATAATTTTAAAATTTGGGGAGGGATGTAAAAGATCCATATCACTCTAGATCTGCAGAAAACATCTTGTTATTTGAAAGTATTGTTATACAGAACAGAAATTCATGAATAATAGCCTATGATCCCCTGGTATATTGTTGTACTGACATCTCTACAGGAAATTACATCGTAAGATTATTTATTTTATGTGAAATATTAAGCCTTAGTTTTTCTTACATCGTTTATCCTGTATAATTCATCAATGGTGATATTCCTTTATATTTTATCCTGTATTATTCATCATTGGCTATATTCCTTTATGTTTTATCCTGTATTATTCGTCATTGGTGATATTCCTGTATGTTTTATCCTGTATTATTCATCATTGGTGATATTCCTTTATGTGTTATCCTGCATTATTCGTCATTGGTGATATTCCTTTATGTTTTATCCTGTATTATTCGTCATTGGTGAGATTCCTTTATGTTTTATCTTGTATTATTCATCATTGGCTATATTCCTTTATGTTTTAGCCTGTATTATTCATCATTGGAGATATTCCTTTATGTTTTCTCCTGCATTATTCATCATTGGTGATATTCCTTTATATTTTATCCTGTATTATTCGTCATTAGTGATATTTCTTTATGTTTTATCCTGCATTATTCGTAATTGGTGATATTCCTTTATGTTTTATCCTGTATTATTCGTCATTAGTGATATTCCTTTATGTTTTATCCTGTATTATTCATCAATGGTGATATTCCTTTATGTTTTATCCTGTATTATTCATCATTGGTGATATTCCTTTATGTTTTATCCTGCATTATTCATCATTGGTGATATTCCTTTATGTTTTTTATCCGGAATTATTCGTCATTGGTGATATTCCTTTATGTTTTATCCTGCATTATTCGTCATTGGTGATATTCCTTTATGTTTTATCCTTCATTATTCATCATTGATGATATTCCTTTTTGTTTTATCCTGCATTATTCATCAATGGTGATATTCCTTTATGTGTTATCCTGCATTATTCATCATTGGTGATATTCCTTTATGTTTTATCCAATATTATTCATCATTGGTGATATTCCTTTATGTTTTATCCTGTATTATTCATCATTGGTGATATTCCTTTATGTTTAATCCTGTATTATTCATCATTGGTGATATTCCTTTATGTTTTATCCTGTATTATTCGTCATTGGTGATATTCCTTACAAAGTCAATAATTAATTTCTAAGATCTTGTTTCCTGAGTGATGTCTTGATGTCTTGATAGCATAGAAACACTGGTTCAGATATAATGAATGTTAGATTTGGTCTTGGATGACGTTGTTAATTTTTGTTTTTTACAATTCATTTCCTTTAGACATCAAGGAAACAAGCTGTCGTTGATTAAGTCATTTTCCTCGGCGAGTTTTGGGAAAAGTTCATCGTCAAACTCTATCCCGATGCTGGAGCGTCGTGACAATAAGGCTGACAAGGTCAATGGAAAAGGCATGAAATTTGAGGCAAAGGACCTGCAGTTCGTCAAGGTTGATGTAGACAATAACATGGTGGGTCAAAGGTCAAAGTTTGTGTTTAAATGGTGGTTACAAACAACTTTATTAGGTACTGGGTGATATGGGGACATTTTCTTTATCTATTTTCTCTTCTTTCTAAACAAGTTTTCTTCCTAATGTCTCCCTTGACAATGCCTCACTTTTGGCCTTTAGTTGAGTGTTCCCCTGTGAGGAAGGCTTTGGGTTCTGTCCCCTGGCCGAGACATACCAGAGTCTGTAAAAACAGTAGTTTCTACTCCTGCTTAGCGCTCAGCAATTTTGGAGTGGGACGACTGGTTCGCCCGTTATCAGTATAATGTGACTGAGTGGCCATGGGGTGTCCTGCTGGGTGTCTTCGGCAGTTTGTTTCAGTGAGGTAGCACGAGGCATCAGTTCTGCGCTATCACAAGGAGACAAACACTAACATATCACAGCCTCCCAAAATACACATGCATACACTACACAGATGCATCTTGCACACAGGGGAGGCCGTCCTTAAATGACCATAGCTGTTGATAGGACGTTAAACAATACTAAACCTAACCATTCTGTTCTCTCTGCAGTGATGGCATCCTGAAGGTATTTCTGAAACTGTTCTTATTCTATTTCTTTTATTACGCACATTAGTAGCGTTTAGTGGACACTGCCGACATCTGTACAATTCATATAAAGACCCTGGTTAGATCACAGTCTAATAAGAGTTCCCTAACATCATTCTTAAAACACTCCTAAGGGTGGGTGCACTCTGTATTGACTATTGTGTTGCTTAAGAATGCTTTTTTCTGGGGTCGTATCATTCAACTTTTAACATAAATATCATGTCAGATATCTCTAATTAAATTCACAAATGATAATTTGTTGTTTTGAAAAACATAGAACGTACCTTAGTATAATCTCTTTAAATTTATTGCAGTACCAAGTGGGAATTGAAGTGAGAGTCTAATATTAAAGAAATCCCCAAAACACAAAAATCAGATATCTCCAAAACAGATCCAATTGGGGAAAAAATAAACATATTTGTGCATGCATGTACATGCATGCCCACCTAATTGTGATGGACTTCACTATAGCTTCACAGTTCTAAAATACCCCTATGTACCAGAATCTCAACCCATCAAAAGCCAAGACAATTATCTGGCCATCCTATTAAATTGGAAACAATTGGGTAGAGCTTGCAGTATCATTATGTACCTACTGCTTTCCATTTAAGTAAATGTGGTCAGAAAACAAATTCTTTCCCAATGGCCCAATGGAAAGTAGGCATTTATATTCCTAAATCGACCTTAAATTTCTGGTGAAGAATTTTCTTATTTAATTTCGATGTAGTTGCATGTGAAATATGTAGTACTGCTAGACATGTGTAAACCACATGCTTCAAGTCAATTTTCCTTTGTAAATATCTGTCTAAGGAGGTGTAATTCAAAAACCTAAGTGTGCATTTCTAAAGAAAGTGTAGATTAAAAATGTACATTTATTTTACACTCTTAGGTTACTGAGCATCAATATACATTTTTAGCTCACCTGGCACCAACGGCCAAGTGAGCTTATGCCATGGTGCAGCGTCCGTCGTCCAGCGTCAATATTTAACTTTAAACAACTTCTTCTTAATAATCAAAAGGCCTAGGGTGATGATATTTGGACAAAAGCCAACTGAGGTAAAGGGCTATCAAGTTTGTTTAAATAAATGACCTTCGCCTATTTTCAAGGTCACAGGGGTCAAAATAGGTTTAAAACTTTAAGCAAATTCTTCTGAATAACCAAAATGCCTAGGGTGATGATATTTGGCCAAAAGCATGCTGGGATGAAGGGCTACCAAGTTTGTTCAAATGAATGACCTTCATCCATTTTCAATGTCATAGGGGTCATTTGTCTTAAAAAATCTTTATACAACTTAATCTGAATAACTAAAGAGTCCTATGATAATGATATTTGGCCAGAAACATGCTAGGATCAAGGGCTACCAAGTTTGTTCATATGAATGACCTTTACTTATATTCAAGGTCATGCACAGGGGTCAAATATGTTAAAAACCTTTAAACAACTTCTTCTCAATAACCAAAAGGCCTAGGATGATGCTATTTGACCAGAAGCATGCTGCGATGAAGGGCTTCCAAGTTTTTTCAAATGAAGAACCTTGACACAAGGTCACAGGTCATAGGTCAAGGTCACAGGAGTGAAATATTTTTAAAACCTTTAAACAACTTCTTCTCAATAACCAAAAGTCCTAGGAGGATGATAGTAGCATGCTAGGATAAAGGTCAACCAGGTTTATTCAAATGAATGAAATTTACTTGTATTCAAGGTCACTGGGGTCAAATATGTTTAAAACCTTTAAACGACTTCTCAATTAACCAAAGGCCAAGGTTGATGATATTTGGTTATTAACGGGCTGAGATGAAGGGCTACAAATTTTGTCAAAATGAGTGACCTTCGCCCATATTCAAGGTCACAGTGGTCAATATATGTTAAATCTTTAAATGACTGTATAACCAATAGGTCCAGGGTTAGGATATTTTGCCAAAAGCATGCTGGGTTGGAAGACTTTAAACTCTGTACAACCTAATGTCCTTGTTCGACATTCAAGGTCACAGGCGTCATATGTTTAAATCTTTGTAAAGGTTCTTTTGAATCAAACACTGATATTCTGCCTGTAGCTGTATTTTAGTCAACTTTAAAGATTACAAGTGTGCATTTAATACCAGGTGAGCATTTCAGGCCTATTGGGCCTCTTGTTTACTTACATTTAAGTTAGTGTAGATTTATTTTACACTGTCAGGTTGACTCATTCACCCCTGAAGACATAATTGAACCCTTTCAGTTCAAAGGTTGAATTAGTCAATTATGAAATTTAAGGTGTGAATGACATAAAAACTTACCTCGAAATTATTTTCCAACAGCAGACTGACGGTGTTCACATTGGCATTACCACTCCGGAGAGCACCCAGCGAAATATACGGGACATCACACGTCGTATCCCAAAGGGTGCCGAAGCTATCACAGTACTGGTAGGGTCGGTCGACTACCTTGACACACCTACCATGGCCTTTGTCCGGTTGGCTGAAGGACAGATACTTGAAAATCTGACTGAAGTGCCGCTCCCAGTTCGGTTCCTGTTTATATTGCTTGGGCCAGAGGAAACATCCATGGATTATCACGAAGTTGGACGATCAATATCTACGCTGATGTCCAATCAGGTAAGGTCTTCAAACAATAATTCAGCACTTGTCTTTGAAAAATGTGTGAAATTTTATAAAATATAGATAGAGATTTTATATAAAAATAATCTTTCTTTATTTTACAACAATTAGGAAACAAGTTATTTCAACGTATATCAAACACTCTGTTAGCTCAGATATTAGCACTTAAGGAGTCTTAACGTGGGGAGAAACTGGAGTACCCAGAGAAAACCTACATGATCAGGCAGGTGACCACATACCTTTTCAATTGTGATATCAGATTGCTGGTGAAAGGCAAGTGCACAATCCACTGCACCACCCGACCAACCGTGTAGATATGGAGATAACACTTCAGATTCCTACAGTGCTTGTTTATATTAAGTGTTAAAAAACTAGGATAGGCATTAAAATCAGTGGAAAGAATGGAAATTGAAAATTACTGTATGCTGAGAAATTTTTGCCCAGTCAAACTTTCGCCCTTTGCCTGACTATTCCATATTTGTCCAGTGTTAATTTCGCCTTTTACATTGAACTACTGTGCACATTATGTTGTTAACTGATGTCTGCTGTAATGATAAATTCAGCCTCAAAAAGGGAAAATTAAACTGCAGCGAAAATTTCCCAGAATGCAATAGACATATTTTATTATCAGCTAAAATATGAGTTTTTAAAAAATATAATGCATCAAAGTTATTGGCTTTGCATAAGGAACTGTAAGTCAACAATAAAGGAGAAAATGGAATCAGACTTGATCAATGATAATTATTTCGTAAAATTTATTTGACATTTGTCCATCTCAGGACTTCCACGATGTGGCGTACCGAGCAGAGTCCCGCGGGGAGATACTGCACGCCATCAATCAGTTCCTCGACGAGTCGATTGTGCTGCCCCCTGGTGACTGGGACCAGAAAACACTTCTCCCAATCGCAGAAATGAACAAGAAAAGGGCAAGACAAAGGAAGAGGAAGAAACAGAAGGAAGAGGAAAAGAAAGGTCTGCACTCTTAAATGATTCATGACTGTATAACTTTGACTGGTACACCATTGTTAGCTCCCTTCAAAAGTTCCTTTAATAAAGTTATTGCAAGAAATAAAAACTTTCCCATTATCAAGGAGAATTCAAACACCACCCTGTCTTATTTCTGTGTATGAAGAGTTTAATATCTCCTACTCCTGGAGAAATAAACATATTATTTCCAAAAAATAGACAGTGTATACTATTCATTTTTCAGTTGAATTGGTATTTTAAACAAAATGGTTGTTTTCCATACTTTTTAAAATGTTTTTAAAAGAAAGTTATTTTTGTAGTTTTACCCCTATCTTAGTCAGACCCACAGAAAACAACTTAAGGCCATATTTCAATCTTAACTGTTAAATACTATATTCTGTAGGTAAGGTGATGCACACAATTAAAACAGGAGAAAATTCAAAAGTCACAGAGCTCAAAAACTGTCTTGTCGGTACCAATTTCTTCTGCGAATTGTATCTAATCTAAAGTGATGTATTCTGGGTGAGATGGTTTTGAAAAATAAGATTAAATCTGTCATTATTCTCAAAAAGTTAAATGGATATATATGCAGTGCCTTCACCTATCTTTGTCGCCAAGTAGAAAAGGATTTTAGAAAAAAGCTGTCTTTCTACCCTGAATGACACGATAATTCTAACGAGCGAGAACTGGTTTGGCATCACTTCCTCTTCTTTAAATGTCACCCATATCTTTTAATGCAGACGTTAAAGATTGGTGTTAGCTGCATTTATAGGTTTTACAAAAAAAAAAATAGTGATTATCCTTTTATATAAATTTATTTTTCAGCATTGTTAAAGAAAGTAGAGGCGGAGAAGATCCCGTCAGACCCCCTGAAGAGGACGGGCTGTATATTTGGCGGTCTGATCAATGACGTGCGACGTAGGTACCCTTACTATATCAGCGACTTCACTGACGCTCTCAACGTCCAGTGTGTGGCAGCGTTTGTGTTCATCTTCTTTGCCTGCTTTGCTCCTTGCATCGCCTTTGGAGGTCTCCTTGGTATGTAAAAATTACAACGTGCCTGTGAGCTTTTATAGTGTTATCTCATCCATGTGTCCATTAAACAATATCTTCTGAATAACCAAATGGGCGATAGAGTGACACATTTCGCCAGTATCATGCTGGGATGAAAGACTATCAATTTCTTCAAATAAATGACCTTGACCCACTTTTAAGGTAATAGTTTTCAAATGCGTCAAGCTTTTAATGACTTCTTCTTATGTTAAGCGTTTTTCAGGTATCCTTCTCTTGGTACATTAGTCATTACTGTATATCGATAACTTTTCGGTGCAATTTTATTTTTCCCTTTTTTGTACCCCATTAGTAAACAATAGAATATACAAAAATGTGAAGTGCGAATTCAAAATTTTGCAAAAATGTTTTTTACTGTTGTAAAAGCCCTTTTGCAAGCCTCAGGTTTGACCCAATTTGAAAAACACTTAGGTAGAATTTCCCTATCCAGCGATCCTGGATATGAAAGAGTGTCATATTATTTACTACAAGAGCAATAAATATTTCATTATACCAAAATAAAACAATATTACAACAACAGTTTGACTTGACTTAGCTGTTATCTGCTTCAGTCAATCAGATTCAGTTGTGGTGGCTCTAGTTCTCGTTTATCTAATGAGATGCATTGTTTCATAGATCAACTGTAGTAATACCAATGTAAGATATGGTCTTCAGGATGAGACTGAATCTGTATATCGGAGTCAGTAATGAGAGGTTCTATAATGTTTCAGAGGAGAAGACGGGAGGCTATATGGGAGTAACAGAGACGGTGGTCAGTACATCTCTGTGTGGGATCATATTTGGATTGTTTGCCGGTCAGCCCCTTATGATAGTGGGAGCTACAGGTCCGGTTCTAGTCTTCGAACAGTCCTTATACAAAGTAAGTACCTGGTATACTCATTTAATTTTGTTTTTTAAAAATCAGAAATTTCTAAAACAATTTTCTTTTTCCATTTATTGAAGACACAAGCTGGGCCTATCTCGTGTGGAAATACTCTAATTATTTTTGTTTAAATTTAAGTGTGTCGTTGTTTTGATTTCAGTTCTGTAAAAGTAACTCCATCGAGTTCCTCACAATGCGGGTGTGGATTGGATTCTGGGTAATGATGATCTCGGCCATCGTCGTGGCGTTGGAGAGCAGCTTTCTGGTTCGATACATCACCCGATTTACTGAGGAAATCTTCGCCATTCTCATCTCTCTCATCTTTATCTTTGAAGTCATTAAAAAACTTGATAAAGTAAGTCAAGTAAACAGGTCAGTTTTGTGATTTGACTTTTGATCAGTAAACAGTGTTTTACATTATCATGCAATGACCCTGACCTTCAGCTCAAGGTCAAAGTTAGAGGTCAAGGGTCCAGAACGTTTTGTGGTGAAATTCTTACGAAGAAAACAATATGATCCACTTAAAATAAATGGAAATATTTTGATGGAAATGTGTACCTATATTATCACCATTATACAATACTTTTAAAATCTCGAAAATATAGCCTGATTTAACAAAAAAAGTGCTGGCTTTGAAAGTAAGCCAGGATTCCTTGCAGTCTAATATATCTGGAAAGAGGCAAGCTTCGAAAATAGGGAAACCTCAAAATTCCCATCTTTCTAAGATAGTTGACCTTGTAAATAAAGGATCTTTGGGGTTTAAAAAAAAAATAAAAAAAATATCGGCTATATTTTGATTTCCAATTGTTTTATGTCTTGGTTGCTTCTAGTAATAATGATATCAAAGCATGAAAAAAAGCCAGTTTACATCACATAGAAATTTTGTACAGCTATAATATAATCAATACATTTTGATAACTTTACAGACTGCTTGCTTCTTCATGGCATGATGAAATTAGATGGTCTATATATATACAATGTATTTTGATGAATTGTACAATAAACGTGTTTCATGTTGAATTTATCTCAACTTAATTCATAAAGTTATGAATGAACTGTTATAGCAAGATTGAACTCTTATAATTATATAACCATTAGATCATTTACTAAGTATTTTAGTACAGAAATGTGTCTCACTGACCAGTACTAGTGTTAGTAGATCTCTGTGATCCTTATGTATGTTTTGTTGTTGATGTCATATCCATGAGGTCAAAGGCCAATCCAATGAAATTCATGGGCAATGAACCAAGCTGCATTTAGCTTGTTCATTGAGTTCAACTTTAACACATATCAGAATATTTTGAAGTACAGAAAGATTGTCATGAAACCACACGTTATTTTTCAGACATTTGCGTATCATCCTTTACTGCCATTGGAGAATTATTGTAAGGATTTTGGATGCAAAGCTGGCAACGGATCTGTTTTGTACAACGGCTCTCTGTATTTGTACACAAACACTTCCAACGCAAATTTGACATCAGATCTTGTCTACAGTCACCCCAACAGCTCCGATCACCATGACGACGAGGATGATGAGGGTCATCATAAATACACACTTCCTCAACCAAATACAGCACTGATGTCCTCCATCCTAACTATCGGCACTTTCCTGGTCGCCCACTTCCTCAAGATCTTCAGGAACAGTAAATTCTTAGGGCGAAGTGTATGTATAAGCTGGGATTATACGATATATTTTTGTAAGGATGTAGGGAACACATGCTAGGATAAAGCCTTATAAGATACAATGTATGGGAAAAAAAGATGAAGTGCATATGTCAAAGGGTGAATTGTTTTACTGCTAGGTTGAACAATTTGTATGTTTTGATAAAGAGAATATTTACTGGGATATATGTATGTATGAACAGGTGTATTTAGGTTTGTTTATCCTCATTATTCCAGGGGTTACACTCACGTACACTCTCTGCACCTCTTGAATATATATGTCATAGCAAAATTGAAGGCATGTGACTAGACATTTTAATGGTCTCGGGTAAAAAATCCTGACTAAGGCTGATACCTGTCCTTTGAAGATTAAAGAGAAACTTGCCTAATCAAAAGACTGGACAAGTCCAGTTTGAATATGTAGGGGTGTATGAGTTAAGATTTTTATTTATTTTTTTGCAGGCCAGGAGAGCTCTGGGTGACTTTGGGATAGTGATATCCATTATCCTCATGGTACTGCTGGATTACTCTATGCAAGATATATATACACAGGTCAGTCTGGAAATATTTTTATTGTTGTTAACTCATTCACCCCTGAAGACACATTTGAACTCTTCCAATTCAAATATTGGAATAGTTCATTATGAAATTTCAGGGATGGATGAGTTAAGTGACCTGCAGCCTCCTGTGAGTCAAAACCACAAAAGTTTCTCAATATTTTGTATTGCTAATTTCACTTTAAACAGTCATTTTAGGACCAATTAACCGTATGACCTTGACATATATACTGAGGTAATAAAAGTTATACAGGGAAGTCTATTGCCCTATAACAGCACATCTTAATTGATTGACTATTTGGTACTTATATAAAATACCAATAAGTTGTTGAAAGGACTTAAAAATATGGATTGTTTTCTAAGATCATAGAGATCCCATGCAGTGTTATTTCCACATCATTCTGTAATTTATTTTTTATTTCAGAAACTGGCAATTTCTAACACCTTTGAACCAACATCACCTAATAAGCGGGGTTGGTTTGTACACCCACTAGGAACAAAGAAGCCAATCCAGGCCTACATCATCTTTGCCTCATTTATTCCAGCATTCCTGATTTTCATTTTGCTGTTTCTGGAAACCCAGATCACTGAGTATGTTCTACAAAAACAATTATCTTTTTTTTTTACATGCCTACAAAAATGTCATATTAAGGGTATATGATACCTGTGTAGTTGCAGCGCACATTTCCTTTCATAAGACTTCTAGAGACTTTCATAATAAGAAACATGTAAAACATTTTGCATAAATAGTAATTTTGGGCTTGGTTAATTTATAAATGACACATTTGAAGGTATGAAACAATTGATGACACATCTGAAAAGGTGTGCAAAAATTGATGACACATCTGAAAAGGTGTGCAAAAATTGATGACAGAGTTGAAAGGTACACAACAATTGATGACACATTTAAAAGTTGTGCACAAACTGATGACACAGTTTAAAAGTACACAACAATTAATGACTCATTTAAAAGCTGCACAACAATTGATAACGCATTTGAAATGTGTACAAACATTAGGGACACAGTTGAAAGGTACAAAAGAATTTATGATGAGGTATACAAAGATTAATGATACTGTTTATTATAAGGTGTGCATTTCAATACAAACATTGATAACAATTGGTTAATGTAAACGGTTTAGAGGGAGATAACTCTTTACAGAAATAGTATAATGTGTTCACAAGGGTGTAGCCTTAAAAAAATCTTTGACTTCTATACATATTATCTTGATTGTACATACTATGACATGGTTATTTGTTCTTTCATGTTGAATTAAAATGTGCAATAACTAAATATGTTATCATTGCTGTTACAGAATGATTTTGAACAAGAAAGAGTTAAAGATGCGGAAGGGTTCTGGGTTCCACCTTGACCAGTTATTAATGGGCATGATGACATTTGTGTGTGCCTTGTTTGGCCTACCCTGGATGTGCGCCGCCACAGTGCGTACCATCGCTCACACATCGGCTCTCAGCGTCATGAGTCGCACACATGCTCCTGGTGAAAAACCGAAGCTTGTGGAAGTCAAAGAACAAAGAGTTACCAATATCCTTATGAATGCCATGATAGGTAAGAATCCTTCATTTTGATTGGTTGACGAGGTACAAAGGACCTAGATTTAAAAGTTTGTATTAAAGATTTGTCAGAATGTCATCAATGTACAAGTAAACTTAACAATATTCATCAGATTTGTGTTATGTAAAATATGCTCTTTATGTCGATGATCATTTGTTGCCCTTCTGCCAAACATTAACAGCTTTGTCCAATCCTCATTTTAGGAAGATAAAAATCTTGATAACATTCCTTATTGGAAAAAAGACCTAAGATTCATTGCAGTCAAAAAATATATCGGAAAAAATACAAAAAGTCTGACTTCGGTAATAAAACAACCGTAAAACCACAAATTCAAGGTTTTGTCCATGCAGTCAAATAGTTGTCCTTTACAGATAAAATCCATGTTGGCCTAGTGTTAATTTCACCCTCCACATGTTATCACTAATAGAATGTATATTGTGTACCAATGATATATTCACCCTCATGGGGGGGAGGCGAAATTGTTGAAAGTTAATAAAGTGAACATGTTATGGTATATAATATATAGATGGACACAAAAATAAGACAACACTGAAAATAAGCTGACAACAAAAATAAGACAACACTGAAAAAAAGCTGACTACAAAAATAAGACAACACTGAAAATAAGCTGACTAATAAAATAAGTCAACACTGAAAATAAGCAGACTACAAAAATAAGACAACACTGAAAATAATTTGACTACAAAAATAAGACAACACTGAAAATATACTGACTGGACAAATAAAACAACACTGAAAATAAGCTAACTGCAAAAATAAGACAACACTAAAAATGAGCTGACTGCAAAAATAAGACAACACTGAAAATAAGCTAGCTTTAGAAAAGAAGCATATGATTCCTTACTTAAAAGGGAAACAAGTCAGTGTGTCATCAAGGTTTTAGGGTATATATCTTACCTGTTACTGTTACAGGTGTGTCCCTGACCTGGGGTCCCCTTCTACAGGCGATTCCTCTGGCCGTGCTGTTTGGAGTCTTCCTCTACCTTGGAGTGTCCTCGTTAAGCGGTGTCCAGATGTTCAAACGAATGAAACTGCTCTTCATCCCGAACAAGTATCATCCCTCCACCAGCTACGTCAGACGGGTTAGTGGAAACTTGTCTTTCTTAATTTCTTTATCATAATAGTTTCCAAGTTTTAACCTGCCACAGGGGTCACCCGCAACTTGTAGATTAAACTTCCTTAGGCTCAAATTAAGAACATGTCTTTAAGGTTCCTTTATTCATTACAAGTGTTTTTGCTTTACTGTACATATTGTGATCATACATTTGAAATATTGGTTGGTTTAACTTTGGTTAAAAAAAATAAAAAAAAATAAAAAAAATCTCAGGGCCTGTATTTGTGAAACTATCTTTATAATCAAACTCAGATTCTGTGCTTAAACCAAATTACTTTTTCTGGTGATAAATTATTCAAAGTTAACTTTTTCCCCAATGATTTGATGGAAATTAGAAGACAAATAATATACGTTTCTTTTCGATGCATGTGTTTGTGATTTCAGCATTTTAAAATAATGTTGGTTTTACCTAAAAGTTCATTCTTGAACATGAGGATAATTTTATGACTACAGGCCAAGTGCCTAGTTTTATTAGATATTGCCCAATAGCTATAAAGCTAAGGAAGATATATTAGGAAGTCTTGGAAATTTTCCTTAAACTTTATGTAAACTGTATCTGTTTTGACAAGCCATCCTCAGGTAAGAGTGATGTGTTTCTGGGTTTTACCTGTACAGGTGAAGACAATAAAGATGCATCTGTTCACCGTAGTCCAGGTCGTGCTACTAGTCCTGCTACTGATCGTCAAACTCTCGGCAGCCGCTCTCGCCTTCCCGCTGTTTGTCATACTGTTGATTCCTCTCCGACTCAAACTTATGGGATACGTATTCACACCCAGTGAACTAGAAGTGGTATGTATAAGGCTACTATTTAATTCTTACTTGCTTCAGTGAAAGGTGAGGACGATGACGCTCAGCACATTAGTCTGTTTGTTTGTTTATTGGTAATCTACTGATGCTACCAGGGTACATCTGTTATACTCATCACCTAAATTTGCTAAATTGTGTGTGAGAACCTGTTTAGATGGCAAAGTGTTTCATACTGAAAAACGTGTCTTGTGTGTCACAATATATGGAGTTACGACACATTTTAGACTGAACTTAGTCTAGAGATGGGGTATCTATGGGTTCCTTGGAATACTTTGACTTTTTTATTAGCTCACCTGGTCCGAAGGACCAAGGTGAGCTTATAATTATGCCATACCGTTGCGTCCGTCATCCGTACGTCAACAATTCCTTTAACGAATTCTTCTACTTAACCACTGATTGGAATTCAATAAATTTGTCTGGAAGCATCCCTAGGTGGTGGGGATTCAAAATTGTACAAATGGTGGGGCTGACCCCCGAGGGGGCTGGGGGCGGGGCCACAAGGGGTCAATTTGGCTATATTGCTTTAAGCGACTTCTTCTCTAGAACTAAGAGGTGGATATCAACCATATTTGACTGGAAGCATCCCTAGGTGGTGGGGATTCAAAATTGTACAAATGATGGGGCTGACCCCCCAGGGGGCTAAGGGGCGGGGCAAAAAGGGGACAATTTGGCTATACTGCTTTCAGCGACTTCTTCTCTGGAACTGAGAGATGGATATCAACCATATTTGACTGGAAGCATCCCTAGGTGGTCGAGATTCAAAATTTTACAAATGGTTGGGCTGACCCCTCAGGGGGCTGAGGAGCGGGGCCAAAAGGGGGCAATTTGGATATATTGCTTTAAGCAACTTCTTCTCTAGAACTAAGTATTGGATATCAACCATATTTGACTGGAAGCATCCCTAGGTGTCAGGGATTCAAAATTGTGCAAATGATGGAGCTAACCCCCCAGGGTGCTGAGAGGCGGGCAAAAAGGGGTCAATTCGGCAATATTACTTCATGTGACTTCTTCTCTGGATCTAAGAAGTGGTTATCAACCATATATGACTGGAAGCATCCCTAGGTGGTGGTGATTCAAAATTGTACAAATGGTGGGGCTGACCCCACGGGCTAAGGGGTGGGGCCAAAAAAAGTGTATTACTTGGAAATGGTTGAGATCCCCACCCTATAACGGTATATACAATTGCTGAGTGTAAAGAAATGATTGCACATATGCTTCCAGGATGGCCTTGGGGACTGCTCCACCCTACGAGACTTAACCCCTGGGTCATAACTTTTAAACGGTTGAGATCCCCACCCCAAAACTATATATACAAATGCTGGGCAAAAAGAGACAAATGCAGTTACGATATTAGAATTGATCCTGGGGTCTGGCCACAACCCGAGGGACCTAGTTTCTGAGTCAAAGCTTGGAAACAGTTGAGATCCCAACCCCATAACCATACATAAAATTGCTGGACATAAAAACTCTGATACAGATATGCTACAAGGATTGGCCTTGAGGTCTGGCATATTCCCTTGATTTCATTCAGAGAATATTTTACCATGATTGCTTTGGTATCCAGGTGAGCGATACAGGCCCTCTGGGCCTCTTGTATAATATCCATTTCTCCTTCCTTTGGTCTGTATTTGTTCAGTGCCGTAAAAGAAAAGGTCATTGCTTTTGAAAAGTGCTATTTCTGTGTGATAAAAAAACCTATTCTGGTTAATTAAGTTGGCAAATAATGTATCATTTGCTGAATTAACTACAGCAGGTGTTTTTTTCATCAGGTGAGGTCACTTTGAAAGAGATCTACGTGAGGAGGTTATAGGGGCTTGTGTTCCATGTATACGTACTTTATATATACATGCAGTTAGTTCTGGCTTTTCTATTTTCTTGCAATTGGATCTTTTGTATTCAAATGAATGGTTGTCTCAAAAACTTCTTAATTCACCATTAATAGTCTGAATGACTATGTCCTTGTTATAAGCTAGTTCTGACCATTCAAATTTCTTGCATTTGTCTTTTTTGTATTAGAATGAATGATTGTCTTTTCCTTTTAACAGCTTGATAAAGAGGAAGAGGATAGCGATTGTGATGATGAAGACGATCCTGACTTTTACCAGCAGGCTCACATGCCTGTGTAGTCACTGGACAGATGTCCAGGTTCACCAAAACGTATACACGTAGTCTGGCGTCGTCTCAGGAGTACCCGATTCAGCAAATATAGGGTCCAGGGGACTGCTGTTCAGTGCTGTCTGAGAAATGCACTTTGTTTACAAAATACAAGCAGGATATATACCATCTTCTCTGTTTTGTATCAATAAGCAAACTTTTGTACAAAGCAACATTACTGTGATACAATAGAAAAAGTGGAAATGGGTTACAAAGCACTGGTTGAACACTGGAACGATCAGACCAGTTTGGGGCTTGGTTAACAAAGCAAAAAAACAAAACTTAAATGTTACCGTGGGTAGTTGTCAAAGTCTTGTGAACAGTTTTGAGTTTCATCAAATTGAGTTTTCTGTAATCAGCATTGATTGTCGTCATCGCTATTTTCATGACGGTATTATCGACGAGATTTTATTTTTTTGGCATTAAATATCTTGCGAAAATTTTCATGAAAGTGATGTAAATTTTATCACATAAATATTGAATTCCATCAAGTCGATGTCAGATTTCATCCTTTAATGTAAGCAAACATGCCATGAACTCCACAAACCCATACAAAGATTGTCAAAGGTATATATATATATACATAGGGGAACCATATTCACTTTCCTCATCCATGTATATAAGTATTAGACTCAAACAACATTTGAAACTGTTATTTTGTGTTTACTTTTGATTATTCCTTGTTTTTGTTTTGGATTTTTTTGTATACTATTTGTAATCTTAAATGAATTCAATTCATACTGGGTATGTTTCCATCTCAACCAAAGTTTAACAGTTTGATTTAAATTGCTTTAAAATAAAAGGTTGAATTTTAGTTTTGTTTCCAAATCAAGCTTCTGTGTGATGAATTCCACGTCGGTGTAGGACAATTATTTTACTTCAATGTTGTTTAAGTTAAAAGAATTAAATTCTTGTATAATTTAATGAATTTAAGATAATTTTGTTATATTTTTTATTGTATTCAGACTTGATATTTTTCAAAATAGTCATGGATTGTTTGAATATGAGGATTGAAGGTATTATCATGATGCCATTAGCATGGAGTAGAATGTGTCAGTTTTGTTTGTGTGGTTGGAAGAGCCACATGGAAGCGTTCAAGCTTTATGAGTAAAATTTTGTTTCCAATTTTCTAGGTTTGAAATATGTTCATGTCATCAGGAATTTAAGGAAACAATGAAGGTTCAAATTAATGACGTTTTATCTGCAGCTGTCTACACAAATATAAGGAGCTCAAATGACCGGAAGAAACCTACTGTATAGTGCTAAACCAAACAAGTTCTGTACTGTACTGATAATTGTTTAGAGTGTGTCGAAAAAATTTGTCCGTAGTTATTTCTTTGTCATTGCTTTATCAACAAAGGTGAGCATAGTAGCGATTTCAGCTACAATACCTAAACTTAACTGTTGTCCTGCAAGGATGTGCTGAGTACCGAATCATGTTGTTGTGTGACTAAAAGACATCTCACCTAGACACACACAGCAAACCTAGGCCCATCTCACCTAGACACACACAGCAAACCTAGGCCCATCTCGCCTAGACACACACAGCAAACCTAGGCCCATCTCGCCTAGACACACACAGCAAACCTAGGCCCATCTCGCCTAGACACACACAGCAAACCTAGGCCCATCTCGCCTAGACACACACAGCAAACCTAGGCCCATCTCGCCTAGACACACACAGCAAACCTAGGCCCATCTCGCCTAGACACACACAGCAAACCTAGGCCCATCTCGCCTAGACACACACAGCAAACCTAGGCCCATCTCGCCTAGACACACACAGCAAACCTAGGCCCATCTCGCCTAGACACACACAGCAAACCTAGGCCCATCTCGCCTAGACACACACAGCAAACCTAGGCCCATCTCGCCTAGACACACACAGCAAACCTAGGCCCATCTCGCCTAGACACACACAGCAAACCTAGGCCCATCTCGCCTAGACACACACAGCAAACCTAGGCCCATCTCGCCTAGACACACACAGCAAACCTAGGCCCATCTCACCTAGACACACACAGCAAACCTAGGCCCATCTCGCCTAGACACACACAGCAAACCTAGGCCCATCTCGCCTAGACACACACAGCAAACCTAGGCCCATCTCACCTAGACACACACAGCAAACCTAGGCCCATCTCACCTAGACACACACAGCAAACCTAGGCCCATCTCACCTAGACACACACAGCAAAACTAGGCCCATCTCACCTAGACACACACAGCAAACCTAGGCCCATCTCACCTAGACACACACAGCAAACCTAGGCCCATCTCACCTAGACACACAGCAAATCTAGGCCCATCTCATCTAGACACACAGCGCAAAACTAGGCCCATCTCACCTAGACACACACAGCAAAACTAGGCCCATCTCACCTAGACACACACAGCAAACCTAGGCCCATCTCACCTAGACATCCGGTTCAACAGGATTGTCTTTTATTTAATGTAACCTTTTAGGGTATAAACCGTCGCGGACCTGCAAATGTTAATGCAGGCCTTGCAAGGCTTTGTCAAGGCTCGTCTGAAAGCAGCATCGGATTACTAGGTCCGACTTTATTTCATAAACAAACAACTCTGGTCCAACCAGTTCAACCTTTCGAATCGCAATAAACAAATGCGGCCTTAATCTTTCTCAATACCTCTCCTTTCAAAGAAGATCTTAAATTGTGATAGATAGGTCTGGCTGTATATATCATTCTTATACTTTGGTGGGAGTTATCGGCATTCTTGGGGGATGGAGAATAAAATTACATTATACACTAAGTATTCTTAATTGGGTGTCCATTCAGATCATCTGGTCAGGAACCTCCTAGTTCTGGGTCTCCAACCACATAAACAAGACTGTCGCTGTATTACACTTATTTATGTTAAATGATTACTTCCATAAATACAATTTTATAAATTGTTGATTTACGGTTAAACTGTTATTTGTGTTTATTTTATGAATGTTAAATATATATGAAGGTTTACACTGTAGAAATGGCAGAACTTTGTGTATCCCAGGTCTATAAACAGATTTTGTAAAAAACAATTTTTTACTTTGATCGTATAGTAGTGTATTATTTGAATTTAAAATAAAATACTTCAAAATATAAACTTACGATATCTTATATGATAATTGATGTAAAGCTTAGAAAATAAGCATTGTATTTTTGTATTACATTTTGTACAAAAATAGCTTTATCCTTGCCGAATGTCCCTATTAGGGAGCAGACGATTTTTCAACCTCTTTTTTACTTTATGAAATCGGCAGAATTCTCTGTTTGTTGTTTTCTTATCAGATTCAGATAGATTCATTGCATAGAACAGACTAGATTTTCTTTTTTGTTCTTTGCCAAATAGAGAACAATGTGCATGTACATTTTAGGCATTTTCAGACTTTTTCATGTTGTTTATCATGAAGGGTTAAAGAGTTCACATATCATAGTTATTAAAAACATTTTTCATTCAAGCATCATCTGAAATTTGTGTTAGATAATCTAGGAGCAAAAACCTTTGTATTAAACCTGGAGTATTTCATCCACAAGCATTAAAGTCATTGATACGGTCAATTTGAAGTCAATCACCCCTGAAATTCCATAATGAACCATTCCAACCTTTGAATTGGGAGAGTTCAAATGTGTCTTCAGAGGTGGATGAGTGAATACATTGAATTTCCTGTATGATACCTTCCTTGTTGCTATGGAGATAGAATACAATTGTGTATACACTTTAATGGCAGGATTTGAATGTGCTTGTTTTGATTCCAAAGTGATAGTTTGTCGATACAACCAGCATTGAACATTTTTCATGTAGAGCAAGTACCTCTAAATATCTTATTCAGCCTTTTTTAATTCTGAAAAAATATGTTTGTAAATGCTTTCAAAATTCTAATCACTTGTATAGTACAAATCCATCGTCAAGATTATGTTGTTTTCATTCAGAAATGTGTGTGTGTCTGACTATTGTGAAATGTGAAGTTAACAAAAACACTTTTGCAAGATAAAACTTGTGTCTGAAATTGATCATTTAATTTTGTCCCAAGATGTCACAAGATCATGTACATAATCATTTCATAAAAAAAAGACATATGAAAAGGGACCAAAGATGTTGTTTTGATAGGTTCCTTTGTTTTATTGTGTGTGATATGATTGGTAACTATACTAGGAGGTATATGTGCCATACACCAACAAAGTATTAGTGTTATCCACTTTTATGATTGATTCTTAAATCCCGGTCATTTTTGTGCTTTCGAACATTCTTTTATTTCATAAATGCAAGTTTGACTTTTTTTTCAGATTCAACGAAAAATTCAAATTTTGTTATGATGGATTGTGATAACAGGGTTAAAACAATGCTCGTTTAGTCTCTATTCTGTCTGTGTTGGGTAAAATTCATTTGGGTGAATCCAGATTTAGAACAGTAAAAGGTTTAACTTATTCCATAACTGATCTCAAAATGTTTATTTCTGCATTACCGGATACTAGCCATAGCATATGTATTGTGTTTGTGTGCAATTGTATAAAGTATTATACACAGGGGACATAACTCTCCACAATCCTTCGTCACGTTGTCCTCTCCTGTATAGCCACATTTTGCCACTTCTTGGTGAGTTCAGATCGGAAAACAATTGCGTATCATAGGGTAAAATTCAGCCTGGTATCAATTTTTCCTCTAAAGACTTTCTCATCATTTGTATGAAGCGTCCATAGTATAGATGAGAGAAACATCTGAAGTAAAAAGATAGTGAGTTTAGCAATAAGCTTATTAACCCTTTCACCTCTGTCGACTGTAATGGACTTATCCAGATCAACGCATGGTAGGGTTTACTAAAGTTACATAGGGTAAGTTAGTAATTGTAACTTTAGTAAAATGATTTTGAAATTAAAATCCTGTCTCTAACAAAATATTTTTGTAAAAAACTTCAATTATTAAAAAGCCCTAAATGTACAATATATTCACAGTGTAAAATAAATAAATCAAAGCATTGTAACAGCAATATATTTTACATATACTATCATAGCTACAACTCTATGTATATTGCCATTGTGTTACACATAGGCTATTGTGGTTAAATGTGGCTGGCTTCTGTTTAATTTCTGATATAGGTGTTTTATAAAGATTAACGGTGCTCATAGCTATATATCTATTAAATTTTTGTGACATACATGTGTCATCAGATGTTCTATTTATAGATTGAAGGGTAACACATTGAGTGTATTATATATTTTATACTTGTTCTTTCCTTTTCCTTTTTATTTGTTTTGTTAAAACTAACATTTATCTGTCCTTGTGTTACTAATATAATGTGTTGTCATTTGATTGATGTTGAAAAGAACACGTCTTTATTCTATACATTTTTATCGTCTGTCATATCAGACACTTTCAGTGTATCCTAGGGGGGTTGATATTAATACATCTAATATTCTAACATCCCTGAGATTTTACCTACAGTACAGTTAATTTGTTTTGAAACATGGCTTCTTTCCCCCCCCCCCCCCCCCCCCCCAAAAAAAAAAATGATGTTCAGTTGTAAGGTTTTAACAATTAAACTAATACCTTTTCACATTTTGCTAGAAATTGTAATATATATGAAATATAAAGTAACTATAAGACAGTCTGACGGTTATAACAAATCTGTTTAAAGACATTTCAGAAAATGTGATGATTATTTAAAAAAGTTGCTCAGTGTATTTCTTTTACTTCTCTGCAGATAGTATTTATATGTATAATATATATATATACTTACATGTATATAAAAGGTGCGCTGTTATGCATTCAAGCCAGTAATTTCAATTTGTGCTTATGCCAAATTATGTGTGTTCAACATGATTGAAAATTGAGGAAATAAATTTCCTTTTTGATTCTCAAATTATTAGTGGTATGCAAAGTATTTTCTGGAGTTTATCTGTAGATAGTCTTTACATTCTGTTATGTTTTGTATCAAGTAAATTGCATTGTTCCTTTTTACAGACGAACAGCAAAATGTGATGTACCTGTCTGAAAGTTCATCCTAAAATTAGATAAAACACCAGAAGCAGCAAAATTTGGATCATAATTTTCAGTTATGAAATAATTTATAAAAGTATTGCTACAGTTGTGTGTGATAGGATTTTCAGTACAAAATTTCACTGAAATATGGACATGAACTATTCTATATAGGCAGGTGTTATAATGCAATGGTCACTTTTACCTCAAACAAACAAATATTAAGACCGTCATCAAATGGCACTGCCATGAGATTTTCATCGATTATAACATACCCATATATGAGTATTTTAAAATATACTTTCAATTCCGTGACAAATAAGACCGATGAAGGATGCTTGCACCACTGCCAAAAAACTGTACAGTATCTATGAATGACTGTAGAATCATTTATTTTCGTGGGGTATATCATACCAAATTTATGTTTTCGTGGGGATTTCATTTCGTGGAATTATTTTTTTTATCCACAAAACAAACGAAATTTAATGTCCCACAAAAATTTATTATTTTACAGTAGAATTGGGTTTACCAGCATTAATAAATCCTTTTTGAAAAGAAACTTATACATTGCTCAACAAGAAAAAAAAAATAACAAGAAAAAACGATGAAGTCAAAATTATATCTGCAAAGAGGGCAAGACCAAGATTAGAAACCTGCATCTCTGATAACAGTAAAGTCGCTATACACTTAAAGGATCAGTGGCAGATCATTGGCTCAGCCCAACTAGACTGTTAAATATCAAAGACAAGTTAAGGAGATCTCAGCGGTTACTAATTGTATAAAAATATGCAGTGGAATTCTTCAGTAGTGGGACGGGAATCCTTAACTCATCCACCCCTGAAGACACATTTGAACTCTTCTTATTCAAAGGTTTGAATAGTTCATTATGAAGTTTCAGGGGTGAATGAGTTAAAGCAAGGTATTTTGACTCTTTAAGTTTTCTTTAGGACACAGTGATGTCGGGAATGAAAATCAGAAGGTTTGAATCTGCATATAATGCATGAACAAATCCTTTTAATTACATGGCACAATGAAGGCATGCATATCAATTTATTTTTCATGAAGACTTTTTTTCACACCTGTGATTGAAATGGATTTGATTTTCTGAAATTAACAAAAAAACAACAGTTGAATGTAAATACATTGGTATGAAGTATCGATAAGTATGAAAGATATAACTTATTGGTATAAATTATTTAATAAAATGAAATTCATTGGTTTAACATATATACTTGATGAAAAATACACTATAAATTGGAATAAAAATGTATAATAAATTGGAACGAATATATATCTATAATTGTTGTAAAATAAATAA